GCGCAAGGTCTGAGATGCGTTTGATGTCATGCAAAGTTGAGAGATAACCATTAATGATCCCTTCCACCATCTTCCGTTAATAAATTGATTATCATATATTCTCTCTTTTATTCAGAATTTTCATCCTACTCCATCATGGCAAAATTTCCAAATAACACAAAATGACTACGTAATAACACCATGAGATTGTAACACATGTTCTACAAACCCTCTCACACAACACCCTCGGTGCTATATCTACGATTAGACGATCAATTTGACGGGGAAAATATTTTTCCATTTGTCCCTTTGCTTTAATATAGAGGCTTTTACGAAAAATTTGTCCTGCAAAGGCTGTGCAAGCGTACTCACACTTTGTGACTTCACGCGTTTCATTCTAGCACGGGCGCTCATACGTTGTTTCATCCCTGATTCTACATTCGACTTGCTTGGTTCTTGTTGCTAATATGTCATCTCTCACGACAGTAGTAAGTTTTCATAACATATATATGTACCGGTATGTTATTAATACGTTAGAAAATAATTGGCTAACGGAATATCTTTTCGGCAACGAGGAAATTTTCTAGAATGAAACACGTAAGCCCATTCTGGATGTATTAAATAGGTAAATGTAAAAATGTTGAATATTGCAAATTTAATTCATACATTAACTTTATTTAGATATATTGCTAGTATTATGTTTGACAGGAGATATCTGTATTATCGTTGCGTTGAATAAATCATAGTGAAGTAAGATATTGTGGCACTCAGCAACTGCAATGAGATATTATTTCCGTAATGACCGCGCTTTAAAAACACCAGATTTTCCAAAATGCCGAAAATAATTTATAAATTAATAATTCAAACTTAAGAAGACGATATATACATCTTATAAATGAAATTACGTGCACGGACGCTAATAGTCGAAGAGTAAACTTGGAAGAAGTAACTGTACATTATGTAACATATATTTGCAGCACTAATTTTATTTTCTCGAGGTCGCTATAATTTATAAAATTTTTTGTCGTTATAAAAGTTTTCCTCAGAATGGAAATTATCTCCTTGTAAATCGAATAATATTTCGAAATAAAAGAATTTCATTAGGTGATACTTTCACATTCTCCCAGTGATACAGTGCGTCATCTTTTCTTACCGATGCAAAACCTTCTATGGATCCTATGAAAATACCACCAAGTTTTATGTAATATCCTATAGTACCCTTCTGTAGCATGAACAGTATTATCTTTTGCACATGTAAGGGCAACATGTACCATTGTATATTATATCTACGAAATGACAGTATATATAGAATAGAAGAATCAGCCAAACCAATGAACTATATATTCGTACTTGTAAGCAATGTCGTTTTTTGATACTTAGACGGAATTTTATTTTATTTAACGTTTAAATCTTAGAAAATTTTACAATAAGTGCACAAAATGTTAAAAAATTTAATTAGTATATAGGTTGTGCAATAATAAATCACGTCCCCAAACAAGGTTTCAATGTTTATTCAATCTGAAAAAACGACGTTACTTATGCGTACTCTTTATAAACCTCCGCGGGAATTAAAATTTTCCTCTATACGTAAGTCATACTCTTATAAGCTGCGTTTAATTTTCATTTTTATAATTATCCTGTTATCAGTGTTCGAGTGATTTGTTTGCAATTCGAAGTACTGCGAGAAAATCTCTTACACATTGTCAAAAACGTCATTGTTGTAATCCGTGATTTTTTGGGCGATGTAGTTTCCCAGGAACATAACTAGATACATGCCGCACAAAAAGAGAAATTGCACGGACAAATCTTCGAGGTCATGTCCTGACGATAATATCAGATATATCTGAAATGCATTGCATATTTCCGTAAATGCACTCTTATATTAAACGCGCGGGTTAATTATATATTTGCATAATAAATTTTGCTCACTTGCAATAAATTGAGACTTAAGCAAGACACACCCGTGCCGATCAGTAAGACGCACCATAGCGAGAATGAAGATATTAGAATTTCAACGAACCTTCAAAAGATAAAAACATGCATTATTGCAAACGCTGTTTGCATGTTGTTGGTTTCATACCAACCGCACAGTTTTGCGATGAATATGTACTGCGTGAATTAATCCTACGTATGTAGAATTTTCGTTCGGTTGTTTAATAAATCGCAGTCCATTTAATTCCATTGCGTGCTGGACTCGAGAGCTGTTAATAATTTCGAAAACAATTTCAACGAATAAAAGAAAAGCAATGCAAACAGGTACTCATTATTGGACACCAATATGAATATTTTAGCTATGGTAGAATAATAATGTTTGACTATATGGTAAATCTATTTCCCAATATTTTTTAATATTTATAGTACCCAACATCTTTTTCCGATTATGAAATTGTCCATTATTTCGTACCATTTGGAATATTTTCCTTGAGAATATCTTGGAATATTATAATTACGTCATATCAGGTTGCTCAAGTTACCAATAGGGATCGTATTCTATTTCAATTTCGCAATGTAACTTTGCACTGTAAGGAAACCTGGGGCATAAGGGGACAACGGAGCATAATGAATGCGATCGATAACTTCTTACAAAGATATTGCTATGTAATTAAATGTTTTGCAATAATTACTATTAGACGTCTCTTAGCGTGTGCTATTTAGCAGATCGCATACTATTTTTAACAAAAAGTTATTATACATTTTTTAACGTTCCCTGTACTCTCCGACTGAGTTGCAGTTCTTTCGCACTTACATAAGCTAAGCAATGACAAAATTCTATTCTATATTATCGTAAATACACATACGTTACTAAATAATTTTTTATTTCACTTTGGTAACGTATCTGTGTAAATATCATAAATAATTCTCGCGGACATTGTTTCCATTGTATACATTGCCCCCGGTTTCGCTCGATCGACGTTTCGACGATCACGAAATTCGTACTTTACCTGGCAATTCTGAACATCCCGCAGACATGATAACCATATGATATTATCATTGTTCCGGTGCTGAGCGTTGCGAAGACACTTATACAAATAGCCGCGTCCAAATGCAGTAGAAATAAGTAGAAATGCTTTTCCCGATCAACAAAGTATTCGTTTATAAATTTCGGTGTGTAAATTGATCGAGTCCCATTCGTAGGCAAAATTATATCGAGAAACTTTGGCCAAAATTGCAACAAGAGAAGTGCAAATATAAGGCATATGACAAACACTGAAACAAGAGAAAAAATTCACCTTTCATTAAGAAATGCAATTTACTCGGTATTCAAGAAATTGTGGACTGATATTAATTGCGAAAGTGAAATTTGTAATTCGTTAATTGATTTCCGACATAATTATAAATCACCTTTAAAAAATCATAACGTGTAGTTAGTTAACTCACCTGTTAACACAATAGTATAAATTTTCGCCTTGTTCGCGTATTCGTCGAGAACAGCAATTTCGTTCTTGTCCCTCATCTCGTCATAGTTATGCTGCATTTTTTCGATCGAAGCCTTCATCTGTTATTTCAACGTTCTCCTTCTTAAGATTATAATATTTATCTTCATGTCTCTTTTTGCAAAATCTGACGTTATGAGATGTTTAAGAAAAAAAAAGTGTCGTTGGGAGCAAAAATTAATTTCACCAGGTTTATTCGTCATAAAAATTAATTTTACAAGGTTTATTAGATGAAAGTAAATGAATGGCAGTACTCGAAAACTCACCGTTTCGTTGTTGACGTAGAATGAAACATAGAATATCACGCAGCAAGCGAGGAAGAATGTGATAAAGAGAGTTCTGAAGATAAGATCCATTGTGCAACTTGAAGTAATAAAAACTCCAAGCTATATATTTCATTATTTGTATATTATATGATATCGTCATCATATTATATAATTTTCATGATGTATACGTGTAATATATTTTACTGTATTTTATTTTGCGCATCAAAATGTCTTGCAGCCAGAAAGTTACATTAGAAGAATATATTTTTATTTGGCCATCAAGTCACAAGATTAAAATTATTAATTGCTATGTACCGCGATTGAAAGAACCGAGTTTAATCACAATTGCACTTATAACATAATTAATACAATATTATTATGTTTGATATAATGCAAGCAAAACGAATTTCTATGAATTTCAATTCAAACTAAATTAATACGTAATGATAATTCTATGAAATCACCAACTTACCTGACACAGCATAAAAGTTACTATGATGCCGCAAAGCAAGCCGAACTGCAATGGAACAAGTTTCGATTGTTCATAGGGCCATAAGCCAAGCATGAGCATGAGAATTCGATTGAGACTGAGATGTGCTTGAATGTAATGCGTGCCAGTCATTTCTGTGCGAGGTTCGAGATGCATCTGACGTCGTGCAATACGATCTAAGTGCAGTCACGCTCCCCCCTATCCATCAACTTAATCATTATCTTATATCTTACCTCTTATTGAGCGTATATTCTAACGCAAAATTGCCCATTTGTTTTATTACACATAATGACCTCGAAATAGCACCGCGAGAACGCAATATTTGTGTTTCGCAAATATTCTTGCTGCTATATCAACAATTGAACGTTCAATTTTATAAAGAAAAATATTTCTCCACTTTTTCCTTGGATCTAATGTAGGAGCTCTTATAATACATTTGCTCCACAAAAATAGTGTAAACCTACTCGCATATTCGTGACTTCACATATTTCAGTTTTGCACGAGCACTCAAACATTACATGTCACCTCTGAACTTTATTTCATTTGCTCGACACGTGATGTTGATATATCATCACTCGCGACAACATTAAGTCTTCATAATATTCATATATTTATATATACCGGTGTCTTTTTAATACGTTCTAAAATAATCGGCTAACGGGATATCTTTCGTCTTTCGACGGCGAAGTAATTTCTTAGAAAGAAACACGTAAGCCCATCCTGGCTGTATTAGATAGGTAGGAGTACAAATGAAGAATATTGCAGATTTAATTCTTTCAGTAACTCTATTTACATATATTGCTAATATTACGTTCATGACAGATACTCCTATTATTGTCGCGTTGAATAAATAACAGTGAAGTAAGATATCGTGGCGCTCAGCAACTGCAATGAGACTTTGTTTCTTTAATGACCGCGCTTTAAAAACACCGCGCTTTAAAAACACAGACTTTTCAAAAAGCCGAAAATAATTTTTGGATCAATAATTCAAATTGGAGAAGACCATATACATCTTTTAAAAATAAATTAACATGCACAGATGCTAATAATAGAAAAGTAATCTTGAAAGAAGCAATTGTGCATTACGTAACATATATTCATGACGATAATTTTATTATCTTGTCGTCATTTTATTTATAATATATTTTATCGTTAAAATAGTTTTCATCGATACGCAAATTATCTCTTTTTAAATTGAGTGACATTTCGAAGTAAAATATTTCATTAAGTGATACTTTCACTTTCTTCCGGTGATAAAGTACGTAATCCTACCTTACCGTTGCAAAACCTTCTATGGATCCTATGAAAATACTTCCAAACTTCACGTAATATCCCTTGGTACCTTTCTACAGCAGGAACAGTACTATATTCTACACACGTATGGGCACCATGTACCATTGTATATTATATCTATGAAATGACGTTATAGAATAGAAAAATTTGCAAAACGAAAGAATAATATATTAGAAGTATTCATAAGTAATGTCGTTTTTTGATACTTAGACGAAATTTTATTTTATTTTACATTTAAATCTTAGAAAATTTTACAATAAGTGCACAAAATGTTAATAAATTTAATTAGTATATAGGTTGTGCAATAATAAATCACGTCCTCAAACAAGGTTTCAATGTTTATTCAATCTGAAAAAACGACGTTACTTATGCGTACTCTTAATGAACCTCCGCGAGAATTTAAATTTTCCTCTATACGTAAGTCATATTCTTATAAGCGGTGTTTAATTTTTATTTTTATAATTATCCTATAATCCGTGTTTGTGTGGGTTGTTTGCAATTCCGCAAGTATCGCGGAGAAATTTTTTACACGGTATCAAACACGTCATTGTTATAATCCGTGATTTTTTGGCCGATGTAGTTTACCCAGACCAGAAATAAATACGTGCCGCACAAGCAGGAAACTTGCATAGTCAAATCTTCGAAGTCATATCCGGACGATGTCAGATAAATCTGAAATGCGTTGCATGTTTCCGTAAGTGTACTTTTATATTAAATACATGAGTACATATTTACATAATAGTCTAAGCTCACTTGCATTAAATAGAGACTTAAGGAAGAAACACACGTGCCGATCAGTAAGAAGCACGTTAGCGAGAATGAGGATACTAGAAGTTCAATGAACCTTCAAAATATAAAAACATGCATTATTGCAAACGCTGTTTGCATGTTATTGAATTCATACCAACCGCACAGTTTTGCGATGAATATGTACTGCGTGAATTAATCCTACGTATGTAGAATTTTCGTTCCGTTGTTTAGTAAATTGCAGTCCGTTATATACCATTGCGTTCTGGACGCGATAGCTGTAAATAATTTAGGAAACAATTTCAACGAATGGAAGAAGAACAATACAAACAGGTACTGTTTGCTGTACATCAATATGAATATTTTCGCTATGGTAAGATAATGTTTAATTATGTGGTAAATCTATATCCCAATATTTTTTAATATTTATTGCACACAGCAACTTTTCCCGTTTATTAAATTATTCATCATTTCATTCCCTTTGAAATGTTTTGCTTGTGAGTATTTTTAAACATCATAATTACGTCGTATCAGGTTGCTCGAGTTAGCAAAAGAGGTCGTATACTATTTAAATTTCGCAATACATCTTTGTACTGTAAGGAAACCTGGGTCATAACGGAACCACTGAGCGTAATGCAAGCGATTGATAACTTTTTACAGAGATGTTGCTATGTTATTAAATGTTTTGCAATAATTATTATTAGATGTCCCTTATCGTGTGCTATTATCAGTTGTCATTCTATTTCCTATAAAGTGTTTAATACGTTTCTTGTATTCTGTGACAGAGTTGCAGATTTTTTGAAACATTTGCATGAGCTAAGCAATGATAAATTTCTATTTTCTATACAATAAGTACGTTTGCGTTACCAAATAATTTTTTTATTTCACTTTGTTAACGTTTCTGTGCAAATATCATAAATAATTCTCGTAGACATTGTTCCTATTACATATATTGTTCCCGGTTTTGCTCAGGAACATGTAATTCGTACTTTACCTGGCAATTTTGAATATCCCGCAGATGTGGTAACCATATGATATTATCATTGTTCCGGTGCTGACCGTCGTGAAGATGCCTATGCAAACAGCCGCGTTCGAATGCAGTAGAAATAAGTAGAAATGCTTTTTTTGATCAACGAAGTACTCATTTATAAATTTCAGTGTGGAGATCGGTCTAGTCTCATTCGTAGGCGAAATCTGATTGAAGTCTAATCATAATTGCACTTACAACATAACTAATACAATATTATTAGGTTTGATATAATGTAAGCAAAATGATTTTCTATGAATTTCTATTCAAACTAAATTAACGCGTGATGATAATACTATGAAATCACCAACTTACCTGACACAGCATAAAAGTTATTATGATGTCGCATAACAGGCCGAACTGCAATGGAACAAGTTTCGAGTGCTCATAGGGCCATAAGCCAAGCATGAGCATGAGAATTCGATTTAGACTAAGGTGCTCTCGAATGTACTGCATGCCGATCGTTCCTGCGCGAGCACTGAATTGCATTTGAAGCCGTGCAAGTCAAGGAAGGTTCGCTCACCCTCTCTTCTTAGTCAAGTAATTATCTTATACTTTACTTCTCTTACTGAGCGTACATTTTAACGCAAAGTAGCTAATTTTTCGAATAATGCAAAATAATCGTATAATAACACCGTAAGAACGTAATACTTGTGTTACAGCACGTCCACAGTGCTATTTTTGCAATTGGACGATCAATTTAAAGGAGGAAAAAATTTTTCTTGATATTTCATCGCTATAATATAGCAGCTCTTACGTGACATTATTCGACTAAACATTATTCGACTTATTTGACTCGTAATGCTCATATGTCATCCTCGCCACAGTAGTAAGTCTTTAGAAAGTGTATATAGCTATATTTTTTAATGTCGCAGATAAAATAATTTGTTACTATTTAAGATATCTTTTTATCGACGTATCAATTTCCTAGAATAAAATATATACGCGAACCACATACACATACCAATTGTATACATGATGGTAGGAGTAGAAATGAAGTATACTGAAAATTTAATTATTTAATTATAATAGTAAGTATCTTCTGCTCTAATATATTGTAAATACTCTATTTATTCTATTATTGCTAAACATCCGTATCATTGTCGTATTGAATGAATAACGGCGAAATAAGATATCGTGGCTTTCAGCAGCTACAAAGAGATATGCATTCTCTTAATAATTGTGGTCTTAAAATACTAGGCTGCCGATTCCAAAAATCCAACAATTATTTTCATCTTAGTACTTCAAATTTAAAAAGACTACATTTACGTTTGGTAAATAAATTGTAACCCGCATAATGCAAGCACATATAATAATCAAAAAGGTAATATGGAAGATACACTCTTTATAACGTAACGAATATGCGCGACTCTACACTTATCGATTCAACAGTATAATTATCGACACAATTTTTAATTGTTAAAAAAGGTTTCATCGATTTGGGAATTATTTTATAACTAAATGGCATTGTAAAGTAAAGCTTTTACTCCCTCCTGGCGATACGATGCGAAATCTTTCCGTACCGATGCGAAACCTTCTAAAGATCCTACGAAAATATTTCCAAGCTGCAGATAATAAGCCTTTGTGCCCTTCTGCAGCATGAATAGTATCATTTTCTGGACTTGTAAAGAAGCCATGTACCACTGTATATTGTATCTACGAAGTAATGGTAGAATCAGCAACAAGAAAACAATATAAACTTGAAAATGTAACTTTCCACTAAACGAGAATTATATATACGCACACATACACATATATATATTTGTTCTATTATTATCGCCCGCCATTGTCCGAATAAACCACTTTGCGAGTGTTGAGTAAAAGTTACTTACACGGTGATAAACATGTAATTATTATGATCCGCGACTTGTTGAGCGACATAGTTGCCCCAGAACATATATAGATACTGAGAAATCAAGAGAATCAATTGAATCACTAGTTCAACGTTGGCGGAAGACAACATTAGGAAAATCTGAAACACATCGCATGGTTTTGTAAATACTCTCTTGCATTATATCTGTGGGTATATATTTCCGCAATAAATAATCTTACTTGCATTAAATTGAGACTTATGGAAATTACACTCGCGCATATCATTAAGGAGAAACATAGTGCGAACGAAGACATTAAATATTCGGCGAATCTTCAAAGAGTAAAAATGTATATTATTGCATTTGTCTTCCACATATTTCTCTTATGCGTATTATTCAATTAATACCAACTGCAGAGTTTTGCGATGAACATCTACTGCGTAAATTAACTTTTCGTAAATTGAATTCTCGTTCAGTGGATTAGTAAGTCGCAGTCCTGCAGGCTTTATTGCATTTTGGATGCGATAACTGTAACAAATTTAAAAAAACAATTGAAACCGAAGAAAAAAGTAAATGCCAGTAGGAATTAATTGCCAGATATTAGTACAAAGATTTTACCTTAAAACCGCAACTGAATTGTTTTTTTATTTCCGTACGAATCTACCAGGAAATTTTCAATAAAGATAACTTTATGTTCTAACTAACATTAATAAGCCCCATTATCTTTTCTCGATTTTAAAATTATTCATTATATTATTGGGAGTACAAATTAGTTCGGTCCGTTTTTTTGTGGTCAAAAATGCATTTATTTCAGAACAAAATGAATGAACAGATTAATCAAAGTATTGTCCATCGCTGGCTACTACTTTTTCCCACCTCTCAGGCAATTTTCGAACTCCATTTCGAAAAAATGTCTCGTCTTTTGAGGCGATCCAAGTTAGGAGCCAATTTTCGATTTCTGCGAAAGAAGAGAACCGGTGACCTACCAAATCGTGCTGCATCCGTTGGAACAACCAGTAATCAGAAGGAGCAATGTCCGGCGAATACGGCGGGTGCGGTAAAATATCCCACTTGAGCGTTTCCAAATAATTTTTTACGACTTTTGTGACATGAGGCCGAGCGTTATCATGCAGAAGAATAACTTTGTCATGTCTTTGCTCTATTCCGGCCGTTTTTCTCGTAATGCACGGCTCAAACGAATCAATTGTAGCCTATACCGATGGCCCTTAATGGAATAGCCAGGTTGTAGTAGCTCATAGTACACAACACCCTTTTGATCCCACCAGATACACAGCATGAGCGAGGCTTGTCTTTAAAGCTGAAATCACCATTCTTGAAATGTCAAAACCATTCTCTACATGATTTATCAGTTGGAGCATTGCCACCATAAACTTCTACAAGCATTCGATGCGCTTCAGCTGCACTTTTCTTCCAATTAAAACAGAAAACTAAAACCTCCCGCAAATGCTGCTTAGTTAACACAAAATTTGACATATTCAACATAGTAAAAAACAGGGGTTTTGTATGAAACTCAAAGCGATATAAACTAAATATTATTGACAGATGTCTAACCTCTCTGAAACCACCGAAATCAGCTGTCACTATGAAACATTCATAACAGCCAGAGCCATCTTTTGAAAACGGACCGAACTAATTTGTATTCCCAAATTTGCTATGGATCATTTATCAGCAATTAGAAATAGAATGGAATGCGTTTATTGGTCAAATTGTATATTAAAGTTTTGTAGCTTAATGTTTACTATTAAATTGGCGTTTATATAAAAGGAGGATATATACATATATAGCATATTATTATCTATTTTTTACTAATACTTTTGGATGCGTACAGAAGACTCCATAAATATCCTGTTTTCTCCTATTTATATTAGAAGTTACCAATTTGGCATATCAATTCTTAACAAATTTGAAGCCGGTGATTTTGAGATGAGATCCTTAGCTAAGCACCACATATAATTTTCAAAAGTCTCAGCTAAACATTTTGAAATGACATAGGATTACGTTATTGGCACTCAGCAAAAGACTTCAAAATGATGTAGGAATACAATATCGGCATTCAATTAATGACTTTAAAGTAACGTAGAACTACGTTACCGGTTGCGAATGTGTTAATATTCGTGCATAATAACTATTGATTGTTCTGGGAACCAGCAGCTATGCTCCAAAGCAGCGGTCAAATATTTATAAATGAAAATGTGGACGAGGGAATGGTACAGCATTAATAAAGTCTTCTGTACAACTTCATGTATTAAGCGATTCTGATCAACTTTATATTTGTTGTAGATATTGTTCCCATTTTTATTCAAAAACATTTAGTTTGCACTTTACCTGGCAATTTTAAACATCCCGCAGATATGTTGACCGTATGATAACAGTATGGTTCCAGTGCTAAGCAACACGAAGCAGGCTATACAAAAGGCCACATTCCCATGCAGCAGAATTAAGTATTGATGCGTCTCTAGACCAATAAAGTAATTGTTTAAATATTTTATTTTGTAAATTGGTCGAGTCTCATTTGCAGGTAGAAATACATCGAGAATGCATGGCCAAATTTGCAACAGGAATATTATAAATATACCGCATATGGCAAATACTGGAAAAAAAAGTGTAAAAAGATAAAAATCTTTTCAATAAATTTTGCTATTGATTTAGCAGCAATTTACTCGCTGCTCAAGAAATATTTAATAATAAATACGGGACTTGGAATTTGGGAGGAATTCATTTAAGGGTGGTATTTACTTTAGAATGCTGATTTTAAAAACAACTTAAAAATTTTTTTCTACAAAATAGAAGCATTCAGAGTATTGACGTTTTATATGTGTTTATGCATGTTTTATCTTTAAAAAAATTATGTTTATTATGTTTGGCGCGTAAAATAAAAAATATAATTGATTAAGTTTAAGCTATTGAGACGACTCTGTTCACATTGTCACAAGATTTGTGCACATTTTAATAATCTAAAACAAAAGATCCAAATTTATTTTAATTCTTATAAATGTGGTATATATATATGTATGTACGTATGTATGTATGTGTGTATATATGTGTGTATGTATGTATGAAGTGACCTTAGTTCTGTGGAAGTTAGGCAAAATTAGGGCAAAAAGTTTTTACTCCATGTTAACTACATATTCACAGAACTTATTTTCTTGTTTTTCTGTAAATACCGCTTTAAAAAAGTCGATATTTATAACATTGACTACTTGACTTTGTCACAACTACTCTTCATGTTCTTAATATATCCTTTTAAAGTTGTTTCAAGAACTCTAAATTAATAGAAGCTTTACAAGCTCATAGCTCATTTTTCCTTCAACCACTGCAGATACAGTGCCATCTATCTATAATATATCTCACCTCTGTTTGTCGTTTTTTCTTATATAATTCCATATGATCGGATATAATACATAAGTGCGTACGAAAATCATAACTTATCGTCTCACCTGTCAACATAACGGTATAACGTTTCGCCTTGTTCGCGTACTTGTTGAGGATAGTGGTTTCGTTCTTGTCCCTTACATCGTCATAGTTACATTGAATTTTGTCTATCAAAGACTTCATCTATTGTTTCAACGTTCCGCCTTTTAATTTCTAATAATACTTAATACTAAAAAATCTAATATTAACATTTAATTTCTTGTCTCTTTTTATAATATATGACATTATAAGGAATTTAAGAAAAAAACATGTATTTGCATGTAAAAATTAATTTTTCAAAGTTTATTCATTGTTTAATAAACAAAGTATAGAAGTCGCAATATTCGTTGACTCACCGCTCCAGTGTTAATATAGAAAGAAACGTAACATATCACGCAGATAATGAGAAAAAATGTGACGAAAAGAATTCTGAGGATAAGATCCATTGTGCATTTCGAAGTAATAAACACTCCAAGCTGTATTTATTATTTATTATATATATATAGGCTATACAGCACAAAAACTTGCAACAACATTACTACAAGCTCTTGCACTGTATGAGTATATATATATGAATTAAATGGAATCTTAAAACGTAAATTTCATTTTTCTAAGCAATTACGACAAATTATTTTGCGCAAAATTAAATAAAATATAATTTTCGCTAATTTTTATTAAACAATATTATTATGTTTAATATAACGCAAACAAAATAGGTTTTTATGAATTTCAATGCAAATGAAATTTACGTATAATGAATAATACTACAAAATCACCGAACTACCTGGGACAGAATATAAGTTGTTAGAATACCACAAAGCAGACCGAATTGCAATGGGACAAGTTTCGATTGCTCATAGGGCCACAAACCAACTATTAACAGAAGAACTCGATTGACACTAAAATGTTCTTGAATGTGCTGCATGCCGATCATTCCTGCACGAGCACTGAATTGCGTTTGAAGCCGTGCAAGTCAAGAAAGTTCGCTCACCCCCCTCTTCTGTCAGTCAAGTGATTATCTTACATCTTACTTTTCTTATTGAGCGTATATTTCAGCGCAAAGTGGCTAATTTTTCAAATAATACAAAATATGCACGAAATAACACCGTGAGAATACAATACTTGTGTTATATCAATTTTCTCGGTGCTATATCTGCGGTTAGACCAACTTGCCGAAAGAAAATATTTTTCAAATGTGTCATTGTTATGATATAGGTGCTCTTACGAAATATATTGTCCGCAGAGGCCGCGCAAGTCTATTTGCATATCTCTATGACTTCATGTGCTTCACTCTAGTACGAACGCTCATATATTTTGTTTCATCCCTGTACTCTAACTTGCTTGGCTCGTGATGCTGACATATCATCTCTCGACAGTAGTAAGTCTTTATAAAGTGTATACCTGCATCTTTTTAATACAACATGTAAAATAATTTGCTGCAAGTCACACATTTTTTATCCACGTAGCAATTTTCAGAATGAAACGTATGCGAAAAAATGAGATGTACGCGAAACATCTCTACTAATTATATATTCGAGAACTCGGAGTAGAAATGAAATATACAGATTTCATTACTTTCGAACTTTCTATTTTAATATAATGCTAGTATCCTACGTTATTGCTAAATCATTCCGTATCATTGTCGTGTTGAATAAATAACGGTGAAGTAAGATATCGTGGCGCTCAGCAACTGCAATGAATTCGTTCCCTTAATGATTGTTTTCTTAAAATTTAGACTATCGATTCCAAGAATCCGAAAACAATATTCATATTAGTACTTCAAATTTAAGAAGATTACGTTACTTTTGATAAGTAAATTGTAACGTGCGTACACGTATATTAGCCGGGGTGCAATCTTGAAACAAACGCTGCTTATAACATAACAAATATTCGTAAATTTTATCACCTCAACGTCACTATTATCGATAATATTTTCAACCTTTACCAAAGATTTCATCGATGTGGGAATTATTTTTTTTAACTCAATGATATTTTGAGGTTTCGCTGAAAACGCTTAAAACGCTTTCATTGTCTTTTTGCGACACGATGTGTAATCTTTTCTTACCGATGCGAAACCTTCTAAGGATCCTAGAAAGATACTACCGAGTTGCAGATAATAAGCCTTAGTACCCCTCTGCAGCATGAACAGTATCATTTTCTGTATTTGTAAGGGAGTCACATACCACCGTATGTTGTATCTACGAAGTGAATGATAGAATTAACAATGGAAGAACGATACAGGCTTTTTGGTTAAATGAAAATTATAGTCTTAAAACTCCGTTTAATTTTCGCTTATACGCAAGATGTCCCACAACAACAGAGACAAATGTTATGAGTTGTAGAACAGATTGAAGTGAACAAAAAAGTTTATTTACCATTTTGCAAACAACATGGAAAATTCCAAGTTATTAATCATTGAAAATAGCTGTATAGAGACCTTTTTAATTTATAACTCAAAAATTTACGTGTTATTTGCGATGTGATATTTTTTGTTCACAATAATCTGATCTAAAAATATATAACAAATGTTGTAGGTCAAGGTTCAATGTACTAATATCTGTAGCTAAATATAACAACTGTTATATACTTGTAAATTAAGCGACTCTGAATAAAAAGTTCTTTACCCTTTTGCAAATAATACAAATTTTCGAGTTATTAATTAAAGAACGCTCAAAATATGGCCATTTTCAATAAATAACTCGAAATTTAGTATATCTTTTTGTAAAGTGGTAAAGAACTGTTTTGGTCACCTCAATCCATTTTGTGCCCTCATAAAGTTTGTCTATGTTGATCTGTGTGACACTTTGTATATGTACAGGATGTTGTGTCAACATAGACGTTACAGGTTGCCTGCCAAAAAGCATGCGCGTCCAGATAGCAATTTGGAATTTGTCGATATAGTCATTCCCGTATCTTTTTTTTTTTATTATGATATGACTATATCGAATAAATACTAAATTATCATCTAGCTGCGCATCCCTTTGGGCAGGCAACCCGTCGTAATGGGTCGTATGTTGATGCAACACCCTGTACAGGATGGGGCATTTAAATTAAGACATCTTAATATAATACAAATAAAGCCAAATAGAAAGAAATATTTCAGACAAAATTTATAGTGTTTGGAGGGGAACATATTTTGATGACCTCAACTTCGTTGTACCGTCAATAATTCAAAATCATTTCAAGGTCAACTCAACTTAATTTTTTCTTAATAGAATTATATAGCTTTTTTTAATACAAATCGATTTCTCTATTCATTCTGTATATAAAAATACTATGGTAAAGGCAACGAAAGGTGAATATTTTGCGTAGTCCGCACATAAATTTGCAAATGTCGAATAAAATCTCTTACACAGTAGCAAATACATGATTATTGTGATCCGTCACTTGTTGAGCAACGTAGTTGGCCCCGAACATGTATAGATACTGAGTAAATAAGAAGAGAAATGGAATCACTATTTCGACATCGACGAAGGACATTAGAAAAATCTAAAACACATCGCACGGTTCCATAAATGCTCTCCTCCATCTGTGGGCATATATTAGGTGGTAAACTTAGTTCCTGCGGTTTTTTTGTTTAAAAAACTCATTTATTTCGACATCAAAAGCAAAAAATACATTAATCGAAGTATTTTCCCTCGCTAGCTATACATTTTTCCTATCTTTCGGGCAAAGCGTAGATTCCGCGACGTTAGAATAATGATTGGTCTTTTGATGCAATCCATTCGTCGATCCATTTTCGCACATCCTCGTAATTTCTGAAGTATGTATCCACCAAGCCGTGCTGCATCGACCGGAACAAGTAATAGTCCGAAGGAGCTAAGTCTGGTGAATACGCTGGGTGCGGGAGAACTTCCCACTCGAGCTGCATCAGTGTTTCTTTGACGGCTTTGGCAACGTGTGGTCGAGCGTTGTCGTGCAAAAGCATGACTTTACGTCGATTGCTGGCTACTGCTGGCCTTTTTTCCAACAATGCTTCATTCAGACGGTTTAATTGTGATTGATATCGATCCCCCGTAATACTTTCGTTCGGTCTCAATAGTTCATAATAAACGACGCCGTGCATATCCCACCAAATGCAAAGCATTGCTTTGTGACCATGAATATTTCTCTTTGGTGTGGATGTCGATGGTTGGCCAGGGTCTACCCATGATTTTCTTCGTTTAGGATTATCGAAGTATATCCATTTTTCATCGCCAGTCACTATGCGCCACAAAAAACTCTTCTTTTTCTGCCTGGCGAGCAGAGAAATAGAGATGTTTAAGCGATTCGCAATGGCATTTGCGGTTAATTCGTGTGGTACCCATTTTCCCTCCTTTTGAATTTTTCCCATTGCATGTAGACGTTTGGAAACAGCCATCGGAGTAACATTTAATGCTGCAGTCAATTCTTGGAGCGTTTGAGTAGAGTTTTCGTCCAATAATGCCTGCAAATCGGTGTCTTCAACTTTTTCGGTTGGCCTGAGCGTTCTTTATCATTGACATCAAAATCACCAATCTTAAATCGCTGAAACCATACTTGGCATGTTCTTTCCGATGGAGCATAATTGCCATAAGCTTCGAAAAGCAATTTATGAGCTGCAGCTGCAGTTTTTTCCAAGTCAAAGTAACGAAGCAGCACATGTCGAAAAAACATGTCGCGTTCCATATTTAATCAAAAGAAAAAATAGCATTGCTCGCTTATATGAATCTCTTCGCACTGAATTTTATTGACAAATGTCTAACCTCTAAAATGCAGCCAGTTTCAGATGTCAAAATAAATTACACCTACAACTAACGTTATCTAACTGTGAGCCGCAGGAACTAAGTTTACCACCTAATACTTTCACAATAGATAACGCTCACTTGCATTAAATTGAGACTTATGGAAATCACACCTGCACCTATCATTAAAAAGAAGCATAGCGCGAACGAAGATATAAAAAGTTCGGCGAACCTTTAAAGTGTAAAAGTGTATATTATTACATTCATCTTCTACGTCTTTTTCTTACGCGTATGATTCGATTGATACCAACTGCAGAGTTTTGCGATGAACTTCTACTGCGTAAATTAACCCTTCGTAAATCGAGTTCTCATTCTGTGGATTAACAGATTGTAGCCCATTAGGTTTGATCACGTTTTGAATTCGATAACTGTAATAAATTTGAAAATTTAAAAAATAATTTCAATTCGAGGAAGAAAGACAATGCCAAAAAGAACTGATTGCTAAATATTAGTATAAAGATTTAAATTATGGTAGGATAATAATGTGACAAGATAATAAAATAATGTTTAATCATATGATAATTATGTATCCTAATTATTAATATTAACAACTCCTATTATCGTTTCCTGATTATTATTATTTGACTCTTTCTAAAACATTCTCGTTGTGGATATTTTGAAGTATCATAAATACGTGGCATCAGATTACTTATTGGCAGTGGATTATTAATCAACAATTAGGAATGGAAATCGTTTATTGGTCAAATCGCGTAATAAAGCTCCATACCGTAACATAGTAACAATGAAATTAGTGTTTTCGTGGGGAAAAGACGCTCATATTAATATATATGGTGTATTTTTATCTATTTTTTACTAACATTTTTGGATGCTTTCAACTTTACCTACTGAACGGTTCTCGCGATTTTTGTACCTATTGTAGATGTTGCTCCATTTTTTACTCACACAAATACATAATTTGAACTTTACCTGGCAATTCTGAACATTCCGCATATATGTTGACCATATGATAGAAACATCGTTCCTGTGCTGAGCATCGTGAAGCTGGCTATAAAAGCAGCCGCATTCCAATGCAGCTGAATTAAATATTGATACCTCTCTTGACCAGCGAAATACTCGTGTATAAATTGCAGTGTGCGGATCGATCGAGTTCCATTGGTGAGCAGAAATATATCGAGAATGCTTGGCCAAAATTGCAACAGGAAAAATACAAATACACCGCAAATAGAAAATACTGAAAAGAAAGAAAGAAGAAAAAGATAGAAAACTTTTCAAGAAAGTACAATTTACTGGTTGTTCAAGAAATATTTAAAAATTAATGTGGGACATAAAATTTAGTAGGGAATTTGTTTAATTGACTTCGGACATAATATCACATTAGGAAGGTTATAACTTGTCGTCTCACGTGTGAAAATAATGGTGTAACGTTTCGCCTTGTTTGTGTATTCGTTGAGAATAGCAGTTTCGTTCTCATCTCTTACTTCATCATAGTGACGTTGAATTTTTTCGATCAGAGTCTTCACCTGTTGTTTCAACGTTCCACCTCTTAACTCTTAACACTAACATTTAACCTCTCTTTTGGCTCTCTTTATAAGATCTATCATTGCGAAGAGTTTAAAGAAGAGAAAGTAGTCGTTGGATGTAAAAGTTAATTCTTCAAAGTTCATTCGTTTTTCATTACACAACGAAAGCAAAGGAATTGCAATATTCATAAACTCACCGCATCATTATTGACGTAGAACAAAACGTAGTTTATCTCGCAGGTAATACAGATGAATACAGTAAAGAGAATTCTGAGAACAAGATCGGTCGTGCATCTCGAAGTAATAAGAACGCCAAGCTGCACATATAATTATTTATCTCATATAATTTTTATGATGCTGTATTGATATATGTTACTGTATTTCCTTTTATTATGTGTAATATATATTTATAAGTTTATGTGTAATATATATCATATGTATAATATATATCTTTTTACGTGTCACAAAAAATTTTTCAACCAAGGAGTTGCGTTGGAAGAATATATTTGTATTCGGCCATCAAGTCACAAGTGTGAAATTAATAATTGCTTCGTAATGTGTCGTGACTGAAAGAACTGTTCCGAGTATAATCACAACATTTACAACATGACTAATACAATATTATTATATTTAATGTGATGCAAACAAAATAGGTTTCTACGAATATCAATACAAACTAAATCAAAACACAATGACAGTACCTCACGGGAAAAAAATATTTTGTCGGCACAGTAAATTGTTGAATATTGTGGGGACAGTAAACAGATTTGTTACAGAGAAAAAAAATGTTTTCTGTTGTAGTAAAACATTGTGCGCTGCGACAGCGATAAAATTTGTTTTATCATAACCAAGTTATTTTACTGCCTATGTATCCAGCAAACAGGAATTAATACTCTTAATAAATATTTTTGCTGATAGATCTTTTGCTATTCAAATACATTTTTGCTGTCCACATAACAAATAACAATTTGCTGTGTCGGCTAAATATTTTTTTCCGTGTACGAAATCACCGAACTACCTGAGACAGAATAAAAGTTGTTAGGATACCGCAAAGTAAAAAGAACTGCAATTGAACAAGTTTCGATTGCTCAAAGGGCCACAAGCCAAGCATGAGCAAGAGAACTCGATTAAGATTGAATTGCTTTCGAATATACTGCATGCCGATCAACGCTGCGCGAACATCGAGATACGTTTGAAGCCGTGCAAGTCGAGAGGGGTTCGCTCACCCCTTTTCGTTTGTAAAGTGATTATCTTATAACTTACTTCTTATTCAGCGTATGTTTTAGCGAAAAGTGGCTAATTTTTCGGAAAATACAAAATGAGCGCGAAATAACACCGTGAGAATGCAATGTTTGTGTTTCGTCAACGTTCTTGGGGCTATATCTGCAATTAAGTAAACAATTTCCCAGAGGGAAATATTCTTCCAGGTCTTACTTCCTCATAAAATAAAGGCATATACGAAATGTCGCGCAAGCGTACTCCTATCTCTTCAGCACTTTACGAGAGTTATTTTAACACGAGAGTTCTCGCGTTGCACTTGATATTCGAATTCTTTTAAACGAGGAAACAAGAAAAATGAAACTCTCTCGCACATTCTCAAGTTTGAAAGTATTAATCTTTAATTGCAAACACCTTGTATAAGCGTCCAAGGAAAATCAACTTTCGCATCGTCAAAAGAATTCTGTGTGTGTTATTTTTCAAGTATATTTTGATAGATAGATTTCTTACACGGCATTACATAGATTACCTAAAAAACTAATGTCGAATAATCGACCCATGCGTTTCGTGATTAACTACGTGCTAATTAAAAAAAAAAGGGAAGAAGAGACAAAGAAATGGAGCAAATTAGATCGTTGTATCGATTGTATTTTTGAGTTATTGCTGATGATCGCGCGATTCCGTCTCGTCGACGTTGATGTCAACGTAACATTTCGAAATAACCCTCGCATGCCGCGGCTGTGAAATCGATCCGCTTGTTTTTCCGCGCGATTTGCGCAAGTCGTGATTCCCTAATAAGGAAGACGCGCAGAGTCGCAGAGTCTGTCGAATTCCACGCAATAACGCAGGCAATAAACGGCGATCCTGGCGACAGGAGGGCGGCTCTATCAGGATTGCATCCCTCGCGAGCAGGTCCTGCCGCGGGGGTGCGCAACCTCATGTGCGCGCGCAATCTTGCACGAAGGCGACCTGTCCGCCTACATGCGTCCTTGATCCGGAAATATGCTTCGCGTTTGAGGCAATTACGGGCATTAGCGTGGGCGCCGCTGCGGCTTTAATTCGACTGCACTTCGCCCCTAAACGAGGCGCTTTTGAACTCACTAAATGCGTTTATGTGCCGTTCATCGCCGTCCGGGGTGGCTCACCGTTGCCGATATTAAACGAACGGCGACAGCGTATCCGATGCATCTCGTGCTGCTATTTAGCACACGCGAGATAACGATATAACATCGCGTAACGAAGTTGATCTCACGTTAATTGCTTGAAATAAACGGAATGGAAAGTTCAATACCGCGGAAAGTAGAGCGGAGAAAAATCTAAAACATACGTCAACTTTTAGTAAGTAACTTCGACGTAGTTATTCATACCGTTCGATTTTATCGTTCCCGTTAGTCTGGAATGAATCGTGGTATCGCTATACGTAAATTTATTTAGATTTAATTTTTAATTTAATTGGAATGTTTAGGAAAATAATTGGAATATTTCTGAAAACAATTGGGAAAATTCATGAGTTTATCTTTTAATAATAATCATAATAATTTTATATATATATTCACATATATATATATATATATTTGGTTATAAATATATATATATATATATATATATATATATATTTATTTATTTATATTTATATTTATATATTTATATGTATGTTTTGATGCGGAGAGAAGCAGAGTACAAGCGAAGGATAGTTTTTGACTTTCGCTTGAGGATGATAGCCGTGGCTCCAACTCTGCCTGAAAAGGCTGACGCACCATCTACGTCATCTTTGCTTGTGCCAGGGATGGATTGAACGATATCTCGCAGTATATCTGGATTACTAAAACGTGTACGTACATTACGGGAAAATATCATAAAGAGTCTTACGTCTCTCCGTAAATTCCCGTGTCTTAATGGTAACAACGCAAATCGTAAGATAAATGTATCTCTCTCGTGACTTGCTTTACGCAATTTGTATTCAAAGGTAATCGTTCTAAATCTTTCAGCTTAGATTGTCTCTCCTTTTCTATATTTAAAAAAAAGTAAGAAATTAAGAAAATTTAATTAAGAAGACAGACATAAAAGGAACTTAACGCGGGCACAAATTAAAACTTTACACAATATTTGTTGATCAGTGAAATTTTCACATGATAAAATTGTGTAATTTTGTACACGCAGCACACGTACAAATACTTTAGACTGTAACTTGCTTTCCAATCGTAAGATTAAGTCACATAAATAATATAGAGATAATTCGAGACATGTATCCGATGCGAGGAAGTTACATCCGTTCCTGTCGCTTCTGTGACGCTGAAGTGACGGCACTTTGATCTCGTTACGTCACCGCTCCCGTCGTGTTACGTAACGTTACATCGTCATAACCTATTTCGTCATTTATATGTGACGTTACACGCCATGACGTCGCGAAGATGGGATGTTTCGTATGCCAGGCTTGCAGGATTTTCAAGGAGCGCGCCCGTTTTGCCGCTTCGCTCCCTCGTCGTCAAGAGCTACGCACCCCATAATATTGTCCTTCTCTAGGTACGGATGGGGGATGCTCTTCCTTGTTTCCAGAGTTCGTTTACCTTAATTGAAAGGAAAAATTTAACAAATCAAAAACAGACAAATGGATTTTTTTGAAGATATCATTTTAAAATGTAATCTTCAAGAAAAAATAAAGTAGAAAATATTATGAAATTTTCGGAGCAAAAGATCGAGTAATCACATAAAACAAACTTCTATTTATTTCTTTTCGTTCGTTTACCTTTTACAAGAGTTATTTAGACTTGTGTGTGGATGTGTATGTGTATGCATGTGTGTGATATCGTTAAATGAAAAAAAATGTTGGCTCCGGTGCTCGAATATCGTTGAAAACACTTGGATCAGGTTCATCGTCAGGATCAAATTCCACGTCCATCGGATTAATAATAGGGGGCGGTTGCGGAATTCTAGGTTTCGCAATTGGTGCCGGTCGCATTAAACAGGCTTCCACTTTTTCTCTCACGAATTTTCTCTCGCACTTCGCGTTTATTATGGTCGCCGTTTCCCCCGCATACTTCATTAAAGACTTTATATTCTTCTCGTATTCTTGAAGCTATGTTTAACAATTAACAGTAAGGAAGTTAGAATTGCACGTGCAAAGTTTTCAATTCAAATATACATTGCAACATATAAGAAGAGACGGTGAAAGGAAAATGTAATATTCACCTCTTTTTAATATAATGAGTTGAAAAGATACTACATTCGCAAAATAAAAAATAATTACGGTAATGAATGAAGGAAAGAGTTGTTTTAAAAAACCTGTCCATTGCTACTGGTACTATAAGGATTTCTGGATAATACAGTGTCATAATTTTTCAGTATCTCAAAAACCATTAATTCCACAAGCCAAGCAATTCAAAAAATTACCTCACAATGCCTCGGTTTTCCTTATATTTTATGTGAATTATATTCGAGGAGAAAACGAAGCGCTTACGTCTCGTTCAACGACCTCCTCGCGATCTTTCGGATGAACGTCTAATTTGCAGCCTAAAAGCGTCATCAGAAAATCACTCGAGATGAGATTATGCTCGCTTCCAGTAGTAACGTTGTATCGACGATTTAAGAGCCTCCGTTTGCACGTTTCAGCGTCCACATCGAGAACGAACACTCTGAACGTATTTTTAAGAATCGCATCGTTTACCGCGGGAGATCCTTAAAATTACCACACACATTCTTCGAATGGTACCTGTTAGGCGGTGTAGAAATCATATCTAACAGCTTGAAGTCCTCCACGGTAACGGGGTAGCCAGTCAAAATCCACCCTCTCTTGAGACACTCGGATCCTATCACGTATTTCTGAAAATAACAACGAACAGTTGTGCGACAGGACGTTGAAATAAAACTTGAAATATTAACCACGTGTACAGGCTCGAATAAGTAAATAAGTTCAATATATCTAGATTTTTATCGAAAAATTCGTATATCGCCACTTCGTTATAGGAAAATCAAAACTAAATCACTCACACAAATTAGTCACCATTTTATTTTAATGTTTAACTTTAATATTTGAGAAGCTATCACGCAACAAATTTTATTTTATTTTTGGCGTTGTACCTCGACAATTTCTACTTTTATCTTCGGCATTGCTCCGCACTTATGCTTGCATAATCGTAGAACCTCACCTAAAGCCGACTCTCGCGAACACGCTTGATCCAGGATATAATTAAAGTCGACTGTAGGGATACGAAATGTCCGATAAAAGATTTTGGTACGACTGGCGAAATGAAAAATAAAAAAGGATATGGAAGGATATAAAATACATTTATAATAACCATGTTAAAAATTTCCTTGTAGATTCCTATGGAAATCCTCCCAGGAAACTCGTGTGAATTCATATAAGATATTAAATATCCATATAAGAATCTGCATGATGTGTAAAAATTTACATGATAATCCACTAGAATTGTTATCTAGGTTCGAGGTTTTTGGCACAAATAGGAGCAACCGTAGGATTCCATATTTCCTATACGAATTCCCACCTAATTTTTTTTAACGGAGAAATGTGCGATAGTATCTAGAGAAGTATGAATTAATTTCGGAATTACCGTGTACGAGATTGAATCTTTCAGATATGTGCTTTGCTAAGGAGTGACAGCCCGATCCTCGAGGACCTATAAGGACAATGCGAAAGAGCGACGGTGCGCCGCAGTGTTTTCTGATTTTCGTCAATTTCGCGCAATCTATGCCCAACTCTTGAATCGTCTTATCAGCAGCTTGTACTCCCTGAAGAGAAATTGTCCGTCGAATCGATCTCGTGATGATTAAATTCAGGATAAAATAAGCCATTCATTGTTTTCGACTTCCCAGAAAAGAGATTGCCGGATCAACTAACAATCAAGATATCAGCATAAGCTTCACGCAGACCTCGAAGAGTTCTCTTGTATTCGAGTTGTTCCGCGTCCTCTGACAATAAGCGCGATTTGTGAGAAGCTTGATCACACTTGCCTATCTTTTCTAAGAGGAGGGAAAACTATCACTTATAATTAATTCATAATTAGGTAGTCAGAACATAATATTTAGCTCCGTTAATATTTTTTATGAAAAGAGGAATGAAAAAATGTCAAAATCTGTCGAATGGTCGCACTTCAACGGTGAAAACGAGCACAACAATAAATTCGATTGAAGTTACTTTTCTCGTCTCCGGCATTCGGTAGTACGATTTGTATGACGTGAGTGGGTATCACACCGACACGTTGCAATGCGCGCGCTTCCTTTTTGCTTCTCGGTATATCTGCGTGGAAAAAAGAATCACTCATTTGTCTCTTAGGAATAATTCGGAAGTTATTTCGTCCGATGGAATAAACATTTTTTCTAATTTACGCAAGCAAAATTACCGACTAACACCCATCCGGATTCATGGAGTATCCCCGACATTAAGGTTTTCTTCAATCTCATCGCGATCTCATCGACGTCGAAACATTGACGCGTAGTCTGAAATATATGCTTTCTATCGAGATAATATATAACCAATGTCACTCGCATGATGATATAAAAATAAATGCGCGATTTATCGTGTTGTGAGGCACTTTAATGAAAAATCGATTACTAATAACGACGTACTTCTACAGGAGATGAGGTGCAAAGATCTTCCAAGACGATAGGACGAACACCTATTTCCTCCTGAAGAACATTCCCAAGAGCCATTCTATCTGCGTATCAGTAGGAAGTTCCGTTTCACTTATTTTGAAAAAAATACATATGCCCCACACAGCAAAAATGCCAAAAATATATCATATAAATATCATAATATCTTTAAGATATCCTAATGATATATTTTGGATATTTTTGCTATATGGGGTATATTTTGAAAATATTCTTAGAACTTTATATATATTGTTCTTATTTTTTCCCCTATGTCACGTTTTATGAATATATTAGAAATATTAATGAAAACAAATACAATATTCTATCACACAGAAATATCCCATACAGTACATATGTTCAAAAGATATCATATATTTCTAGGATGTCTCTAGGATGTCTTTTTGAACATTTGTGCTGTATGAGATTTTCATAACTATAACAATATATCAATTGCGTGTTTCTTAATATATTACCGAAGTTTGGAGGAGCTATGAGAATAATTCTGGGAATATCTCGTTTTTGTACAGCGTGCTGAATACATTGTTTCATAAATACCACAGGATCTTCTGGTTGCTGGATCAGTAATTGGGTCACTAATTCCTATGGATGTTATCATTTTTGTTACATATTATTTTAAATGTCATATTTAACTTTCTCTTTCTTATGAACCACATAGAAGAGGAAAAGAACAGAAATAATATTATATGTAACAATACATAAAATAAACAAAGTATATTATTAATGTTAACGAAATATATTTGGGTGGATAATAATTAATGTGACACGTTTTAATTACATAAAAGAATTCATATAATCTGTGCTTTTCCATATAAGGCACGAAATCCAAAGGAATGGTCGATAGTCTTCCTATTATCGTTTCAAAGTCGCACATTCTCGTAATTTTTGTGATTGATTAATGTCAGGTTAAATAACATACGTTATGACGTGCTGCTTTGATACATTTATATTCAAGTAGCACGCGATTTTCAATTGTATATTGATAAGAACCACTCTTTTCCTTTATTACACAACGTATTATACAAATTGCGTTTGACTTCTTATTAAATATTGACTTCTTATTATTTGAAATACAATTTGCCACAATTACATTAGTGTTGTCCTTGCATAATAAGTTATCTGATTTGTTATTGAATCGCGTGTTATTTAAAAATAAAAAATCTTTCGGACCTGCCATCAAATCATATTATTTAAAAATCAAAGCCTTTTGAATTCATAAATAAGTCATGCTATTTAAAAAATAGAATCTCTGATCTATTGTTGAACATACTACTTGAAAAATAAAAGTCCGACTGTGTGACTTATTGTTGATTCATATCATGACTTCGAATTTATATTTTATTATAAATATAAATACACAAGATTTAAATACATGCCCGTAAACTTCCGTTTCGCACATTCTTCATACATTTGATATTTCATGAACTTAAAAAAATGTATGAACGTATATTAAGAATCCGTGTACATATATACGGTACGTCCCGGGTAATATGATTTCGAATTTACAGTACTAATAGTAGCGACTCGTAGCGGAGACTTTGGAACTAAAAGAGGGAGATTCCATAGCTAAGATCGGTATTCGTAGTCGAACCTTATATTTAAGACCGTCGTGATTAAATTTATCTTTAGATGCTTTACGGCTCATTTTATTGGCTACGGAATATCCGAAGATGAAGACTTAAGACGGTCTTAAATATAAGATCCGACTATGACTGCGATCCGATTCACATTTATAGCGCTGTAAGTGACATTCTATCTCATTTATCAATCAATAATAAAGATAGAATGACGCTTACAACTAAACGTGAATCGGACCACAACCTATGAATACCGGGCCGATGACTCAACTCCATTTAGCCGAGACTCAAACCCGTTCGGAGGACAAAGTTTCTTCATGATACGCCAGATGACACTAGAAGCAGATTCCACTTAACGCTCGCAACGATCGCGAGCATCGTTCTATCCTTGTTTCTCTTGGATGTTAAACAAAGACAGAACTATATTCGCAATCGTTATGAGCGTTAAGTGGAATGCATGTCAAACAAGTGTTAGCCACTTCCTAACAAGTCGCCATTGTATCGAAAAATCGAAAAATCGAGGCGTGCGATCAACGCAAGTCAGAATTTTTTTATTTTTCAACGGCAGATCAGACGATATTTTATTTTCCAATAGTAGGACTTAATGACAGATTGAAGTATCTTTTTGTTTTCAAATAGTACAACTCAAACAACAGGTCGGAGATGTCTTTATTTCCAAATTATTAACGCAAGTACTCCTCACTCGGACATTTGAAAACATCGAGGAGATAATCGATCCTTTCCAGAGAGAGAATCGAACATCGATTCACCGTCCATCCCCACCAATTCCCATGCAGAGTTGTCGAAAAAGCGGGAGTGATTCTCAACAGTATTTTCTCCATTTACACGTGAATTTAGGCAGTACACAGTCTTGTACCGCCAAAACGAATCTCGAACATTTTCTGTTGATAAAAACAAATAGAGACATAAATCAATCCGATCGTCTCGAAAGACGCATCACTTGAGAAAATCAGCTTCAAAGTTACACTCGTCCAGCCTTACACCTGTTACAAAATGAATAGAGGTATATCTTCTATTATAACAATACGTGAAATGAGTGCTTTATATATCTGGTACTATCTAAACCAGACCAAAATCCAAAGCATGTGTATACAATTTCTACGATTACAGATTTTATCCTCTACCTTCAATTTCCATGATGATATTGTTGTCATGATTGCATTTCTATTTATAATTAAATAATGAGGATTGTATGTATGTGTGTTGCAGCTAAAAAAACACCGGCCTCTCAGAACATCCAAAGAAAAGAGAGCAATGGCAACGAAAGTCAACCTGGTCCCAGCAGTCAAGCTAACCAATCACTACGTCAATATGGCAATAGAAGTTCCACACGTAACAAATTATTGCAAAACTCGCAGGACATATTGTCACAAAACGTATCGTCACAGCAAAACATGCAGGTGCAAGAAAAAATGCAGATGACCAGTGGAGTGATAAAATATCTGCTGATGGCAGATCGAAACAAACATCCTATACTAAAGTCCCATATTATTAAAAACATACAATGTAATGCTAAGGACTATCAGTTAATTATGAAAGAAGTAGAGACACAATTATTTATGGTACGCTTGCTCATTTCAGCTATTTTGACTAAACTACAGAATTAAATCATTATTCTATAAAGCAAATTGTTTTAAAACCTTGGTTAAGTTGTATCTGAACTTGTGAAATTCATAAAGGTCTTTTAAAGGTTTTCGGATATAGGCTGATACAAGTTGAGGGGAATAAGTACATAATGGTGAATGAAGTTAACAATTATCTTCCACATCTCAATTTCAAGAAAAGTGCTAATACACAGACACTGTTGTTTCTTGTGCTTGTGCACATTTTTATGATCGGTGAATCGTCCAAAGAAGGTGATTTTACTTACCTGAGAATCTTGTTTGCTTGTTTCGTTTCGAATCTTCTATTACTGCAAACCACATTATTATTCACTAAAGTTTTATGAATAGATATGAATAGATATGTTTAACTAAACATTAAAGAAAGGTTTGCAAATTCAATATAACGGTTGACATTTTTTTCAGAAGTATTGTGGGATTTCCTTCGCAATCTGGGCATCGTAACGCAAAACAACTATGTACATGAATACTTTGGCGACGTAAAGCAGTTGGTGACGGTTGTAAGTAAAAGCGCAAATCCAAAACATGTGATTGATGCAATTTTGTGTACTTAACAATACTCATATTTCCACACAGGATTTTGTAAACCAGAGATATCTCGAGAAAATAATACCAGATAAAAATGATCCAACAAAGGTTGAATACAAATGGGGCTGTCGTGCACTAAATGAGATCACGTTTCGTTCCGCTTTGGAATTTGTCGCAACTGTAAGCAGCATTGTAATTTATAATACACCTAATGATATCTGTATATCTATCTATTTTTATCAGTCATCTATCTATGTATCTATTTCTATCGGTATTATGTATACGCAATTTTACTAATATTGTGTGAAATCCAAGTATTAATTTTAATACTTAAAATATCTCACACGGAATAAAAATAGGTTATTTGCAGATATTTGATAAACGAGCATTATGAATTACAGATATACGATATGTCTCTAAATAAGTGGAAGTTACAACACAAAGCTGTGAAGGAGCAAGAACGACTAAAAGGACGAGAAGCAACATAGGAAATCGAACATAATGCTCAAAGAACATTGCGTACAATTACATATGATTCCAGTGAACGTACGTATCTGTTTCTTTATTTCTTAATTATTTTAAATTTTAATTTATTTTAATTAATTTTATTTTATTAAAAACTATTAACTATTAAATTTTAATTTATTTTAATTAATTTTATTTTATTAAAAACTATTATTTATAGAACATAAGATGTATGAATTTATACACAAGAGTGAGAGAGAAAAAATCAAATGGAAGCCTTAAATATATTTTTTTATAATTTATCGAACAAGTGTTACACAATTCCATCATTTTTCTACGTTTCCATTGTGTTCATGACAAGTCCTACGACACTTACAAAGTGCATGAATTCTTCTAAAAAAATTCTTGTGCTCACGTGCGCAACTCATATATATATCATTTAATTTTGGAGCGCTACATACCCAGGTGGAACACTATCATCAGTACCACGTACACAGATTTTAGGAATCATTTTCGACCTGCAATCAAATCCAAACGACTCAGACTTCTGAGTACCGGTCTCTTATTGCAACGTGACAATGCTCGGCCCGATGTGACCGTGTACTGCCGGTTGCAACCATCCAAGACTTGCACTTCGAATGTCTCCCACATCCGTCGTACTCGCCAGGCTTCGCACATAGTGATCACCACATCTTTTAACCACTCAAAAGGGCGATGAGAGAGAAGATTTCCATGTCCGACGAAAAGGTGCAACAGTTGGTACATGAGTGGTTGCTCACGTAACCATAAGAACAGTTTTTGTAAAGATTCCCTATACCTTGTAAGTGCTAGAATACTTGTCTCGAACATAACGGAAACTACGTAGAAAAATGATACAGTTATGTGCCGCTTTTGTTCAATAAATTATGAAAAAAAAAATTGTAAAAGTTTCCATTTAACTCGTCTTCGTGTATTGATAGGTTTTTATATGCAAGTTCTGATCTGAGGTTTCGACGCAATCGAGACCGAACAATGTACTCACAAGCAGTCTAATCTACAAGCGTTTGTTACACATCACATGTAGTGTACGTCCCGCTTGTCCGTACTAAATCCCGTATTCCTTAAAACGAACGTTGATTAAATCGCGCTACGTATTTCCAGATCGATCTGTTTACGTTCGTCCGACAGATTCCCCGTCCCTAAAAAAGCCTTAAAACTGCGGGGATTAGAATTCACGCGAGGTCTTCAAGTTCAAGCTAAAGCGCGGAATAACCCGAATCACCGTCCGTTAGCGCGAACCGCACGTGCTATAATCTGTTATTCTCTATTTGCTCGAAAATATCTCGACCCCAATTCATACCTCGCAGAGTCCGGCCGTCCGTATGTAACAGATCAGACCTTTCGCATGATAATTACGTTAGTTCACCCGATTGCAACGAGCGGTAATTATTTGAATTTTAATTTACGTCCGGTCAATATCGAAATTAAACAGCAACTTCTACCATCCTCTCACCCCTGGAAACTCGCATCAACCCGCTTTCAAGTTTCACGACAAAGTACAATTTAACAAATTCTCGGGCGCGATCCTCGATTACAGATTCTCGATTTCACGATCGTATTTCCACGTCCGCTTGCACGATCATCCCGACTCGAGCTATCCCGCGGCCGCAAGAGGCACGAGCCGCACTACGTCCGCAAAATATAAAAAACAGAACTCGTGTGTTCCAGGCGGAGCTCCGGAAGTCAGCCGGCGAATTCGCCGAATTTCTTTCGGACGGAGTTAGTGGGCCACGTCCATGCGTTTACCTCGCCTTTTACGCCCTTACGAGCGGCGACGAGGAGCAGCAGCGCAGAGAGGGAGGGAGGAGGGTGCGTGCGCGCGACCCTCTCCGCGTTCGCGCGTCTCGCCGCGCCGCTCCGCGCGAACGGAATCTGTGTCGCGCCGGGTCGGTCGCCTGGATCGGCGGCGCGCCACTCCTGTCAGTGTCCACCCAGCCTCGCTGTTCGGCGGCCGCCGAGCGCCGCTCGCTCGCTCGCCCGCGCGTGTCTGTCCCGTGGGTCATCGTCGTCGTTACTACCACTATCACCATCATCACTACCACCACCACCATCACCACCGTCGCGTAGCGACGCGTCGCGATTTTCGCCGCGGCTGAGCCGCGTGCACGCAAATCCGCGACTTCGCGCGCGCCCCGTGCGTCAACACACTGCCCCGCTGTTCTCGAGTACGCGGTCGATAGCTCGGTGAAACTCTAACTTCGAGTACGTTGCACTTTCCCCGCGGGAAAAATCAAGACCGCATCGAACGCTCATCTCCTCGACGATAAACGGAGATACGATTTCCTTATCTCGCGGCGGGGGAGCGTGGTGATTTTTCTCTTCTTTTTTTTTTCTTTTTTTCACGATTTTTCCCCACGAATATAAACGTTCTGTTGTTCTTTCTTGATTCGCGTGTGGAGACGACTTTTCTTTTTTATACGCGTGAAAAGTATGCGTTTGATTGGAAGTCAAATCGTTACTCGTATCTTCACCAGCCTCGTTAATGTGGGAACGATCGCGCGATAACAGGTGGACAGGTGATATCCTCGCCCGCGTCGTTCTCCCTCATCGTATCGATTGCTCCGTAGATATCGATTATAGGTCGCCCGACGTTTGGTTCAGGACGCGCCCTTTCGACATCCGCGCGCGAATTATCGTACGAGAGAATTATGGTAATGCCGAATTTCTCTCCCGAACTCCGACGATCGTCGCGTTTCCGCCCGCCATTGCCGTGGGGAACTTATTCGACAAGTTGGCATTCATAGAATTTCGTTCAAGGAAGAGCGTTTGTGTGTTTGAACTATCGACCGATGAATGTATATCGCGCGCTCGTTGCCGAGTAACGCTCGGGGATGCTCCCGATACTTCGTTATTGTCGAAATGTACCTTCTCTCTCGAACAATTGTTACAGAATAACCTTTATTGTGTTCGTACGTACTCTTCGCGTCTCTAATTGGACTAATTATTATTAGACATGTCGCATAAATGTTCGTATAAATTGATTTGTTGTGACTGAATAGTCGCGATACCGCAAAAACATCGGTATTTTCGAGCGCGCTTGAAAAAATTTCACAAGTCTACTCGTGTCGGATTATATATATGTATAATATAATCTTAATTAATATATGATCTATTTTTATATATGTGTGTGTGTGTGCGAATCTATGATTGCGATCTTTTCTCTCGTCAAAAATAAAAATAACGACACTGTGCGAAAGTAAAGCGTCTCCATCCATTTGGAAACGTCAAAATTTACCAGTCTTCTTTAGTAATGTGACAGATATAAACGATACGAGTAGACGAGTGTTTTACTTCTGTTTTTGTTCTATTACATATTAAAAAATCATGTCCTTTTAGATTTAAACGTCCCTAATAGCGCAACGCGCGCAGAAATTTCGACGACCAACGATTCTGCGGACCAAACGATCGTCTGTGATATTTCGACGAAAATCTCGTCGAATACTTTCACGAGGAGACACAACGCGTCGAAGCGCGCGACTTCGCTGAAGGTAAGTTGGACAATTAATCCGAATCATTTGCGATCGATCATCAGCACTCGACATTATTGACACGAACTGCGCTGAGAATGATTGAACTCCAATATAAGAAGCGTGAGCAATCGATCATAGTTAATATTTCGTAATAATTTATTCCGAAGAAATATATATATATATGAATAAAATTAATAGACGGTAGAGAGAGAGAAATATGGTGGAAGATTGAATTTCAGTGAAATTAACAGTTTTGATTACTAAACGTGACTCTGAATAATTTATTGAACTTATTTTGTTATCAATATTACCATTAATTATGAATAATAATAATACTTGTTCACTTGTGGATATAAAAGTAATGTTATTGATTTCGGGATAAAAATCGTTAAATTCCAAAGCAGGAAGAAAGGAGGAAGATGTGACAAAAACTATGACCGAAATAATTAACTTCTATTCTGCTTGTTGTGACGCGATGTGTCATGCGATCGATATATACTTTTTGGGCGGTTGTAAAAATTTAATGGAGAGCACTTTCTCGTAGAGTCGTCGCGTTAACAGGATTTCGTTTTAAATACAGTTACACGTTCGTGTCGTTCTTAGTGTCTTTCGCGTCACAGGGACAAGAGACGCGCGAAAGACAGCGAGAGCGACAGATCGTCACGAAGAAAAACGCTAATTCGATCGCCTCTGATGCTCTCAGGATTGAAGATACTTTTCTTCCCGAAGTCATATATCACATTTCTCTCCGTGAATAACGGAACTCGAAGAGCGCGCGACCTCGATATTTCACATTGCAAAACATTCTGTACGCGCTGACAAACGATCGGACGTTGAAGAGCGACGCGTTTATTCGCTCCGCTATCGATTCGGAATCGCGAGAGCGGTATTAATAGCGGCGATCCCGCCCTTAATAATGCATCCCGGTGTATCTACCGCGACGTTGATTCCCAATTTTGTTTCGATTCAAATGAGAGAACGATGGAATGGAAGGTCAGTGGAAGAAAAAAGTCGAGATCCCAGTAAGGGTCATTAAAAGGGACGATTCATCGGCGAAACGTTCCGACGAGTTAATTAAAGGTTTTTCCTCCTATCTTTCATCGTTTTTCCTTCGCCCGCGTAAACGCTGACAATTACAACGAAGTTAGAAGGCGTAATGTTCTTTTTCTTCTCTCTCTTTCTCTCTCTTTCTTTCTCTCTATCGTTGAAACGGAAATGAAGCCTCTCCACCTCGGCGAAGAACGACGAATGAATTAATTAAATATCTGAATACCTTCGAATCTGATTCTTAAAATAATCCAGTACGGGTACGGTTTGAATTATCACGAGTTATCGCATCAAGCGATATTCCGCCTCAAATATCTCGTTGCATTTCCGAAGGATGAACAAACAGCCGCGCCGCTCCAACTTTTTAATCGTACTTCGAACGAAGCTCATGAAAGATGGAGCGATATCCGATTATATGGAAAAATTCCTGCAACCGAATGGGAGCCAGATGAAAACTCGGTGACAAGAAATATCTTTGTTACCGTGACTGTGAGCACGCTCGTGTGAACATTCAGCTGATTGAAAATTCGCTTGAGACAACTGAAAGCAATAGACTGAGCAGGAACTTTCTACAGGAATCTTCCTGTTCCTACAACCGAGTTTCCGTCTGATAAAGTCAGAAACGAAAAGTCGAATTGACGTCGATCGTACCAGTCTATCGACAGTCGAAATTTACAGTTCGATTCAGCCTAAATTTCCACCAGTCGATATTAGTTACTATAATTGCAAAATATTATTTGCAACAAAACTGCGTTGATGCAAACTAGATAAAACAAACTAATGTTAGATTTTGTTTAAGTAAAAAAAGACTGCCATTTTATTGTTTGCATCTTCTCATCTCCTAATGAATTCTTTCGTGGTTTCGGTCTTGTAGTGGTTATCCATCCTTTATCTAACCGTGAATAATGTTGCTTCACTTCTACGACCTAACAAGAACTTTTGATATTAATGTACCCTGATGATATTTTGAGGCGTTATACTTATACCCCTCACAGGAAATATTACTGGCTGTGATAAATTGGCCAATGAGAAATTACTGTTGCTCAGTAGTTTTATTAGTACGTACGAATAATAAAGCTACTGAGCAACGATAATTTGTCACTGGCCAATTTATCATAGCCGGTAATATTTTTCTGTAAAGGTAATGTATTTTTATATCTTTCAAGAAATACTGTAATGACATAATGTTGACAAATGTTGGAAATAACGCAAACACAATCATATGGAGCGGAAATTAATGTAATGACAACTTAACACAATGACGTCGACGATTACCTATATTGTGACTCTTACCTATCTTGCCTATATTCTTGTAATTCTCTCCTGTTGTTACAACCGATTAGAGCTTTCTTCAACTTCTTTGTGACTTGAAATAAATTTTTTTACATAAATTTTTTTTAATTGTTCAATTTATATGAAAACAATCTTTGTTGTAAGATCGAAAATGATAAAAATATCGACTGTTCGACATCGACCATTCATTGACGCATCGATGTTGATTCAATTCCTCATTTCTGGCTGAAAAGTCCTTGCCTTTGTCGGTTTCAAGACCTATCCAGTAAACACCAACTGACAGTAACATAACACATCAATATTATAATTTTCCACTCAACAATATAAATGCAATGTAGCGCGTATGTTATGAAACAATTACCTTGTTGAATAGGAAATTATAACATTGATGTTACCTTATTGATAGGTGATGTTTACCGGATAATTTCCAGAAGCGTTAGTCCTCAAACATCTTAAAAAATAGTTATTTGCAAATAGGAAATATGTAATAATTTTCATGAGACTATTATATATTTTGATATAAAACCGTCGCTTTAGTTTAGTTTTAGTTGCACCCATGCACATTAATTTTCATCTTACACCTTCAACCGGGCTTCAGAGCCGAAAACAAGATAATACGTCGGTTTTGCTGTTTCTCTTCCATCTTCATGCATCAACTCGAACGTCTCGAGGACATTGTCGGAATAGCTGAAAAATAACAAATTTCAACGAGCCTCGTTCGCGAGGCCACGAGGAAGCGGGTTGTCCTAAAACGAACACGAACGACTGAGAAGGGATTTCAGACTCGCCAAGGGGACCAAGCCGTAACTGAACCACCTTCGCCGTTCGAGCCTGAAACGAACGAAGGACAGCCGCGCGATGTTCAACCTCTACCAGAGCCTGAACAAGAAGGACGAGAGCGACGGGCAGAGAGGCCGCGAGTCGGAGGTGACCGGTCATGACCGATTCTGCCAACACCGCAGCGGCCACTCGAGCAGCCGTCGGCGACGTCGCGCCGTCAATCGCAGAACTCAGAGCGCCACTGAACTGAACGCCAGGGCGATGATGTCGGCACGGGGCTCCCTGCGACGCGGCCGCAGCGTAAGCACCGAGGACGACGAGAGCGAAGACGACAAGGGCCATCAGCTGGCGAACAAGCTCGACAACTTGGCGAAGCTGCTCTTCAGCCGTGTGTCGGCGGCGCGAGGATACAAGGACCAGGGTGACATCAAGTGGGTATAAGAGGAATGGATACGCGCGTACACTCCGGTAGCTTTAAGCTCGCGAACCAGGACGCTCCGGCCGGTTGAGGAGTTAACAAATAGTGTGCGCAAGTTGGTCTCCGGGTATAAAGCGAGGTTCACCTTAAGTTCTACTGTTCCGAAACGATGGGTATAGCAGCGTAGAGTGAATTTATAATCAGCTGTATAGCTTCTAATGGAATTTGTTGGTCTAAAGGTCTAGAGTCTACGCGACTTGGAAGGTTAAAAAGCTCCAAGTGGAGAGTTGCGAGTTATGCGATCGGAAGTCGTAGAATTGTCGAGTCTGAACCGTAACTTTCTAGAGACTTAGAAAGAATCTCTTCGGGTAGCAAAGTGAAGAAGACGTCATATTGACGTCATATTAACGTCATATTGACGTCACTGCTACCTGGCGTCGTCGACGAAAGAAAGAATGCGAAGGGTGGAGGGTAAACGTGTCGCCGGATTCCGTTGTTGTGTATGAATTATGTCCCGTATAAGTCGAGTCGCGTACACCGAGAGAAAACTATTTCGTATTTGTAACTATAATCATCGTTGTGTAAGAATTATAGTCAGGAGATCTCCCGATAAACACAAATATGTAACAGTTACATCGTTGCGATATAACGGAACGTAATACGCACACGGAAAAAGAATCTGGTTGCATTGACTAGAAGAGGAACAACCAGACGTGTTCTGGTTGAAGGGGACAAAATTTTTTTATTTTTATGACCCAAATGTGGTTCTTGTAACCAGAAATTCCTCCTTTCCTTCAACCAAAATCTGCATCTGGTTGTTCCCTCTCTGATTGATACAACTAAACTTTTCTTTCCATATGTAACTGTTACATAACACGCGCATTATATTGCATTTATATTGTTGAAGAGGAAATTATAACATTCATGCTATGTTATTGTTAATTGCTGTATTTGCTGGGATTTTGTTAGTTAAAACCGTAAAAAGCATGTAGTTGGGGCAAAAATAACTATAACTTTTCTCAATATAGTAATCTATCAACGAGCAAATTTACCTTCTCGAGAATTGTGTACCGATATATGCCGCTCTTCTCAATTAGCTCGCCGTTGTTACTTGTTGCATCAAGGAGGAATCGATGCGTTTCGTCGGTTGTCGCCGTTTCGCCGGCAATTTTCCGAATACGCTGACTCGCGCGATTGAACATTGCCGTGTAAATCAATTGCTGTATCACGCACTCACGTCATCGACCGGCCGTCTCTGTTTGTAAACTACGATCAGACCTGTCCGAACCGCTGGAAACGTAGCACTTATTGCCTTCACGCAGGCAAATGTCGTTATCTTCATCATCGCGAGTTCAGTAACGCGTGATTATCGTTACATCGATACCCGCGAAAGTATCCGGTCGATATTATGCAGCCGGAGCATCGAAATCTCTCGGCAGAAATCCGCCACCGGGTGGATGGAAACTTTCGAGTCCCCGTGCGCAGGTAATGGCGTTTAAATATACAGAATGTCTCGGAATCTTCACCGGAATCCTCGGAACATTTTCCACGTCAGCTGGAATTTAGAATTGGCTACGTGATTTAAAGAAGTTATTATGAAAGTGCAGAGTTACGAAATTACGGAGTCACGGCGGAAATAGAATAGTCGCGGAGTAATCGAAATACAGAATTACGAAGTCATAGAGAAGCATAGAGTCATCAAACCGCGAAGTTACTGAGTTTCAATTATAGTTCCCATAGAGTTTAGATTTTAACAAGGTTGGATAAAAGTTATTTTTCGTTTTTAACTGAATTAAATTAAAAATTAATGGCCTTATAGCATTAACTCAGTTAAGTTAAAAGTTACTGTTGACTAAACAAAAAATAAACTTGATTAAAAGTTAATATTAAATTAATTAAAGTTAAAAGTTAATTATACAAAGCCATGTATATGTATGTGTACATATATATTTTTGCATAATTAACTTTTTAATTGTACATTAAATTTATATTAAATAAAAAAAAGTAATCTATTATAAGAAAATATCGACTATATTATGCTCAGGATTCCATACGAGAGAAAAACAGTAGAGCTCGAAGAAAAAAAAAATCGACAATTTTTATTTTCTCCTTATTTTATGTTTGTGAACAGTTGCAGTAATTTTAATATTGATAAATTATCTTAACTTGTATAAAAAAGAAGTTAGTAAGTTAAAGTTTTAAATTAACTAATTTAAGATAAAAATTAACTTATTTAAAATCAACTTAGTTAAATTTAAAGTTATTATAACTTTACCTTTTTACCTTTAACTAAATAACTAATTATTACCCAACCCTGGATCATAGTCATAAACATAGATTACAGCTGTAGAAATCATAATTTATATAATATATCGACTAATTTCTCGGAGAATCGTATAACCGTAAAATTACAGACGTAGAAAGTCAGTCGTTCGTCTCTCTTCGTCGTCCACTAATCGAGAGCAACAGTGTTTTCTGGGGCATTCTGTATAGATCGCGATAGTCGTTAATTCGATTATCCCGTGGAAGCGCAAGCCGTGTAAAGGCTGACTGTAACTATACGATGCGAAATACGGTTGTTTTGTACGGGTCTTCTTATTGGATGAAATCCTTTGCAGTCGTAGAGCAACGTGGCACGTTAGTGGCACGCGACTTCACCGTAATCCGTGGCTCGCGAATCTAAACCGCTTTTGGGGCCGCTTGAGACGCGATGATAATGCACAGGAACTGTCTAGGCGAGCGGTATCGACCACGCGAAACTGCACGGTACCTTTCGACGACAGGTAGAACGTCTCTCATATATAACATTCGAGGTACACAAAGAGCGATGTCGCATTCTCGGCAAGTTGAGAGAAGATCTCGAGAAAGTGTGCATATATATATATATATATATATTCGTGGATGTCGATGAAGCTTTAACCAGCGTAACGCGATCCTAATTTTAATTTGATGACATGAATCATTATTAATGCAGCGGGGCTGCTGCATTTGAAGTCGATCTTTTTCTTGGCGGAAACGTCGAGGTTTTCCTTGTTACGATGGCGGAACAAAAAGGAACGTTCTTCGCGGACTAACTTGAAGGGAACGAGTGGATGACGAAATCATATCCCTTTCCAATTAATTTCAAGCAGATCTTACTTTGATAGGTTCCTAATCGGAAGATTAATAACGAAGATATGTAAAGGCCTCAGCAGAATTATTCTCATAACTCGTGATTTTAAGACAATGTCTTATGTCCTAAATTTTTATTTAAATTATCATTTGTTTCGTTTTTTTTATTATACAACGGTATGTTATTAATCACGAACAGCACAGCTTTTTAGTTTAAGACTCAAGACATAAGATAATCATTGTGTGTTACTTAAAAACAAAGACAAAGACTTAAGACATAAAACGTTGTCTTAAATCGATAAATTAGTCATTATGCTAAGGTTCTAATGTGAAGAAAATAGGAGAGCTGCGATAAACGATGCTCTTCCCCGATATTTTTGCTGAAGAATGATCGATTTCGAATTATTCAATGACAAACTTGTCATTGAAATTTCAAAAAAAGAAAGGGAAAAACGGAATTAACGCTCAACCTAAAAGTGAATGTTTATTCGACTCTCGCCATCGTCTTCGTATTTATTTTGTTAATGAGATCTCACGTGAACATCTGACAGAAACGGCCGTTACACGGCGCTGAATCACGGATCGAAGGCGGGCGAGGACGGGGTCGAGTACGTAGAAATGGAGAAGAGATCCAGGGATCGTGCTTTATCAATCTGCCGGGATTACATCGAGAAAACGCCGCGTTTCGCCCTCATCAAGCAGCTTAGTAACATCGGTGAGCCGATACTCGCTCTTGATCCCGCCCGCTCGAATCGGCCGCTCAAGTGCCGCATTGAGATCTGCCAGCTGTCCCGAAACTGTCACGTTTCTCTCCATTCGCGAAATCCCACAGCGAAACTTTATCGTAACCGGATAAAAGCAATAGAAGTAAAGGAAAAGACAAACTTGCCAATAATAAAGAAGATATGGAGTTATAAAATAAGAAAGAGAAAGAGGGGGAGAAAATTTGTCGATAGAACAATGAAAATTAATAACCCGCGCTTTCTATTCAGGAACTTTCAACCCTTTTACATTTTTGATAACTTCCAATAATCTTTTACATTTAATGACTAAAAAATACTCTCGTTTACCGTGATTCATTTCATTGAGAAAAGAATGTTCATCTACGAAGAATATTTCATAAGAGTTTCTGCAAATATATATATTAACGAAATTAATAAAAAAAAATTTACCTATAAGGAGCAATTCAACAATTATGTCATGCTAAATTTGGATATTTTTCACTCCCCCTCCTCTTCTCCTTTCACAATTTCGTCACAAAGTATTTTTCCACTTAGACTGCACACTACTATCATATTTACAAATTATGTCATTTAAGGTGACGTTCTATGGTCTTTACTCCCCCCTTCCCGCTATCACAGACCGTCGCGCATTCTTCCTCCCCTCACGATGTGACATAATTGTTGAATACTCCCTAAAAGGAACCAAAATGTATACCTTAGGATCAAGAGTGGACAAGTACTGGTTCATGGTAAGAGATACTTCGCTGAAGACCGACAGGCTGCTGACTCTGGTACCGTTGAACAGGAACTGCCCGCTGAGCGTCTGTCCGTCCACCAAGGATATTCTGAACAACCTGTTTTTAGCCTTGCAACACCCCTACATCTGTCCCGTGTTCACCGTCGATTTTGTTGAGTACGAGGATCAGACGTACATAGTTCTGGTGCAGCCGATCAACCAAGGCAGCCTCAAAGATCTGATATATAGCGTGAGTATTTTATCCCCGATACGCGGGCGCGCGCAACTTCCACGAACTACCGAAACCGTGTAGCTTCGTCTTCCAAGTCACAGTTTTTTCATCAATAAGGATTCCAGCCAGCTTCCTCTCTTTCCGCTTCCCTCCATCTTCATTAAGCGTTATTAGACAGGTTAGACCCGGTAGTTAAACGGTGAGAATTAAAATTCTTCGTTGAGGTAAAATCCGCCTGGTGGAGTTGAACGAAGATCGATCCTGCTATTTATTCTCTCCACCACGTAGATAAATTTGCGCAGATTTATCTTGCCCGCAAATTGTAGTTCTTCGGTAGCTCTCCGGTGGATGTACGCCGGTTCCCGCGGGAGGAGAGATGTCCTGGCGAGAATACATAATGTCGTGATTCAACAGATCGAGCGGAATTGCTGGAACGAGGACTGGAGTCACAAGTACGCGTCGCGCGGCAAAGGGCTGACTCTGCCGCAAGTGCAACGAATGGGACGTCAGATATTAGAGGCGCTGATCTTCCTGAAGGAACGCGGATTCCCCACGGTGACGCATTTGCATTCGGGCAACGTGGTGATCCAGAACGGCGTCGCGAGGCTGGCCGGCCTGGAGAACACTCTTCTGGGCTTCACCAGTCGCATACATCCCATCGTTACGTCCCGATTAACGCAGTCCAGCTCGATCGATATCATATGTTTCGGTGGGTCGCGGAGGTTTTAATCGAATTTTTAATCGATCTCCCTACGACGTGTGTGAACTTTTCCGCTGGAATATAATTTCACAATTTTAATTGGATTTCAAATCAACTCGCACGAGGTATTATATTTTCGCTAAGAGAAACACGTGTTTTGCATTACCGTTCTCCCATTTGTTTTCCCTCCTCATCTCTTTCGATAGATTCGATCTAAATGCAATGATCTGGAATCTCATTTCGTTCGCGATGAATTTTCCAACATCTCTCATCGCGGGAAAACTCCCAATCGCAATTTAAAATGAATCGAATACGAAGAGCTCATCGTTCGAATAGCTTTCGCAATAGCATTTCACAATAGCTCTCACAGACATATAGTTTTTTCGCGCACGATGAATTCTCCCTTTCGCATTTTCAGGTCACATGCTGTTCGAAATGTGCGCCGGTTACGAATTGTGCACCTTCAGGCCGTCCGCCACCCAATTATCGGACATCGAGATATATCCGCAGGTATCGATCAATTATACATTCATGACGCGACGTGTAACCGCTACGTTTCACAAAAAAATTCGCTCGCACTTCGCACTTATTGCAGGTGATAAGATTTCTGGAACTGATATTCGCGGAATCGGATAATCACTTCGCCAGCATAGAGGAGTTGCTCATCCATGATCTCTTCAGGAACATCGACCTCCGCGAAATGCGATGCGCAGCCGTAACGGTGAGTGCAAGAAATACATTTCGCGCGAAGGTGGACATGCATTGTCCCGAAAAAAATATATTGAAATGAAATTGAATCTTAAAAAGTGGGGCAATTTCCTCGAAAGTTGTAATAAATGACTATAATAAATGAAGAGTTATAATAAATAAAAAGTTGGATCATCTCCTGAAATATAATTTTACCGAAATAGAAATGTTAAGTTGTACAATCGGCCCTGTTGAAAATTTCCAAGTGGATTCCCTCGAAAATAAATTAAAAAACTCATGTGAATCTATGTAGGATATTCAAAACCCACGTAGGAATCTACATGGATTGTTACCTAGAACCTATATATGTACATATATATATATATATATATAATTTCGAGGTCATAGGTGTGTCTCACACACACACACACACACACACACACACACACACACACACACACACACACACACACACACATACACACACACACACACACACACACACACAAATGAATGTTTCCGGTTAAATTGTATTTCGGAGTATTTCCATGTTATTCGAATTTCAGTATGACGATTTTTCGAAAGAAATTATTTTCGTTTCCGAATTTCGAGACTTTGATTCTTCGATACATGTTCCACCCGATCCGAATCATCAATTCTCGATTTTCCGCATTTATAACGCGGTTTCGTTTCAGGTATTTCGTCCGACCCTAACACCCTCTATAATGAGTCTGCTCGACGGCATTAAACGGCAAGATGCTGGGAAAAGGTAAGTTTTGTCTCTCGCGAGTTCGAGTAACAATATACGGTGTATCAAATATACGAGTGTCCATATCTGTTCGTACGGACTTGGCTGACGTTTCTCGCAAATAATTTGTTTTGCATGCGCAGCTGGCATAAGACACGCTCTATAAGCGATGTCCATTTAACGCGCAGATTTTGGTAATGAACGATCAATCACTTAATCCCGTCAATTAACGAATATACCAGTTTACCCTACGTGGTGAGACGTAGAAACGACCGATGTTCAATTGCACTACTTCCTCTTGCAGAATCGCGAGCGTCGACAGCGCCGACATGACGTCGCTGAGGAGCCTCGAGTACGACGACTCTCTACTCACGCAGATATACAACGAGCTTTCACAAACGGCTTTATAATGTGGGAACAAAGTTCTATATACATAAATTATACGTATACACTATACACTATATATTTTATCTTGAGTAAGAATGCACGTTCCTATTGTACCTTGCAGTGTGCCAAGGAATAAACGATTGTCCCGTCGCTGATTTTATTAGCGTGTATAAAAGCGCGCTCCTGCACGACGGATGAATTTGTACAATGCGGCAACCACGAGCGGTCAATTTCGCGCGCATTTGCGTTTCACGCAATCGACGATCGCGCAGAGTTGTTCTCAAACGATTCTCCCCGACAGCTTTTTAGCAAATAAATGCGAACCTGCCTCGCTATCGCTATCGCAAGAGAAAACAGTTTTGACGACAACGAGTTAATAATTATGGAAAAATGGCAATAAAGGAAACTGGAAGAAGCGCAAGTCGCACTGAGTGGTCACTTCTTTATTGATCGTTCTTAAAAGGAAGTAGAAAAAGTACTTGACATCTCCTAACATTACTTGAGCTTCCGCCATGACAGAGAAATGACGTCGCACCGGTTTCATTCGCCCGAGCAAACGAGCGAGATCGACGAAAAGTAAATTCCTTGGAAATGGAATCCTTAACATCTGTCGCCGAAAAATACACACTGAGATGTCGGATGTATAACGTAATCCAGATTTCATAACCTGCGTGTTGATACCGGTCGCGAGCGGCGTGATAAAATTATTTAATGCGTTATGAGCCACCGGTTTCAAGCTCGCTTCCGGGCGTCTCTGGTTCCTCGTCGTTGTAGATGTTCTCCGCCATCTGCCATACTTGCATTATGTTGTCCTCGGAAACGGAACATATAACCCAGGGTTCGTTAGGATTCCACGAAAAATCGCTTATCTTTGCGGTGTGCCCGCCGTGTATGAACTGCAAAAGTCGCGCGTAATGTTTATAAATAAACCGTACACAGACGTAATGGTCGCGTTCGGCGGAACGTTTGTTTTACAACCGTTGGAAGTTTTCTGCGCCGAGATGCTTGGATTATTCCTCGGGATCTGAATGAATAATCCAATCTCAGCTGAGAAAACTCGCAACGGTTGCAAAATGAATAAATTCTGCTGAAACGTGGGCGATATCATCGGTTGTATATATTGAGAAACAGTATCCACTTATTGTCCGCGTAATTACCAAAAGCTCAGGCGGTCCGTCTTCGGCGTCCTCAGTGGATTGCTCCTCTCCAATTTTACTGAGGTCCCATACATGCAATCGTCTGTCCGTGCCGCTGCTCGCCAATATCGTTTCATTGTGCGGTGACCATTGAACTTGGAAAATTTCGTCTTTATGTGACTCGAACGAGTGCAGTTTGAGCTTCAAGTTACGCAGATCCCAGAGGGCTACGGTCTTGTCCGCGCTGCCGGTGGCGAGTATGAACTCAGAATACGGATTAAAACTGAGACAGTTAACTTCTGCAGTATGAGCGTCGACCGTATGACTTGGTTTACTGGTGTTGTTGCACCTGTGTACAAAATTTCAAGATGTTAAAAATGCCGCACCTTTTTAGGGACGTATCGATCGTAGTTAAAGACGGTAACGATTATATCGAAAGTATACTCGTGATTAATAAATAACAAGGCGCGAGAATAACGAAATTGGTTTCAGGCCAATGAAAGCCGGCACTGATAAGTAGTTGCGAGATTAAAAATTGTTAGACTTAAAAAGTCGATGAATCCAAGGACTGTACATCCCGAGAGCCTGATTTATGTATTCTTTATTTCAACTGATTTTACCTAGTATCCCAAATCATCAACTTCTGGTCATCAGCCACTGAGCCGAACAAGGACTCATGTAATAAGTGCCAAGCAACATCCTCAACCACAGCGGTATGTCCCGTGAAGATGGTTTTCGCATCGATAACGCGATTCTCTTTTGGAGTCGCGTTAATGTCCCACAGACAGATCGTGTGATCGTCAGATGCGCTAAGCAAGTATCCATTGAGATTAGGATTCCACGAAAGACCGTAGCCCTCCTTCTGATGTCCACGCAACCTGGTTCGAGATACAAAAAATGTAAACATTTCGGCAGTCGTGCTGATGTACGAGCCACGAGATCGATTTATCATATATTTACGTCGATAAAATGATTTATGTGATTATACACAAACACGCGTGTTATAATCGGATTATATTTACGCTTGAACACAACTATTCAACAAATCATATAAATACCTCAAGTCCGGATGACATTCCCCGTTCGGGTCTGGTTTACTAGGATGTTTAGTGTAATCAAACACGAGCACATCGCTCGATGGAGTCTTGGTAGCGATGACGCAAGGGTTCTGTGGCATATAACGCGCCCTGTTGACCTCGCCTTCATGATTTATCTTGATTTCTATCTCGATCTTCCCGCTAACAGATCCGAACCCTCCAAACTCGCCCTTTTCATTATCATAATGAGACGCGTCGAACTGTGCATCTTCATTGGGTAATTGTACGCTAGCAATTAGTAGATGATTCTGCTCATCTGAGGTATGAGTTCCTAGGATCAGTCGGTGTACAGAATAATCCTTCCCCTCTGGTCTTGTAACATCCGGTAACCACTGAGCTGTTAAAGAAGGCCATTCCAAAGCATGTGTCATAACAAGATCATACAGAAATGGAGTATTCTTCTTCCATATCTTGTATTCCTCATTAATGACACGTTCCTCGACCGCATCGTCGAAAGTTTCTAAAAGGAAACAATAGTTTAAAAGTTTTATATTATATCAGATCAGGTGCATACAAGTACGAAGGAGACCAGGTAATACTTGATTCGAAGTAAATGAAGCCTCAAGCTGAATAATTCTATTAAATAGTGCTTAACTAAATATATAAGTAACTACGATATCAAATGAATATATAGGTATTAACTAAATATTGTAATTAAAATTAAATAGCAAGAAAATTGTTATATATGTGTGCGTGCGTTATTTCAACATCTACTAGGTGGAACTGGTATCCGAAGAAACGATCCTCTAATTGTCTCAAATATCAACTATATCAACTTAACTGTACATATTAATATAATTTTTCCTTTGTAATTTCTTTTGTGCACATAAATTCATATTATTCCATGGTAATTGTATGTGCTATAATAAAAAAGTATAATACACGCTTTAAAATTAACATAATATATATCTAAACCATCCTCAAATTAACATTTTACCATCACACATGGTTACAGAAATCTCACGCGAAGTCGAATGATCAATCATCAATCATCAATCATCATCATCATCATCGTCATCACCACCACCATCACCATTAAAATATCTATTTTTGTTCGGTACATTGCAACGCGATAATTTTTCGAAACACTTACTATTAGGATCTACACCCAAGTCCAAGTAGGGATTTTGAAACGAATCCATCTATCATTCATTAAAACGCGGTCGCCAAGAATTGTCCAAAGTTATCGACTCGGTTGTAGCGCGCTCGCGAATGTTAACCGTATTCCGAGCAACGTGCTCGAGAGCCGGCTCGCGAAAGTTTCGGCATCGCCGCGAAATGAACCACCTTTCGAATTTCTTTCGGCAGACTTCTCTCGAAGACTACCGAGGAAAAGACCGTGCACGGGGGGAGGAGGGGAGGGACGAAGTTGTTTATCGCCGAGACGAAGGGCGTCCTTTCGAGCATATTCGAGCAACTATTTATGTTTATTCACCGGAAGGTAATTCGAGCGGGAGCGTTCGACGGGTCACAACAAATATAAGCGTATACTTACCCCCGTCCTTGTCTGTCATCATTTATCCAGCGCACGGTTCGTTAAATCGTCAATGGTCCAGCACGAAGACAATACCACCAGTGAAAATCCGGCCCGCCAAAAATCCACGAAGCGCAAGCCGAGTGCCGACTTTGATGAGACGCTACTCGAGCCGCCGCGGAGAGCAAGCCGCGTTTACATCGCGCAGAACGAACGAAGCGCTCGACGAATGCACGGCGATTCGTCAATCTGATTGGTACGTATTTTCAGGTCTTGACTGTTCGACGAAACGCACGAATCAGAGCCGCTGATGTAACGTACTTCACTTCGTGCACAATTATGAATAGAATTTTCTCGAATTTTCTTACCTGCGAATTTTGAAATGCAAATTGTAAGAACGCCGCTGCTAAAAAGAACGGACCTTTTTCTCTATCCGTCAAATAGACGCGTAGGATTATAATCGAAAGTTATTTCAGAAAACGTCGTTTCAGTTTTCCTTATTATTAAAATTTGTCCGGAAATGGGATATGTATATTATTCCGGCACAGAAAAATAATCTCCATTTGAAAAATCAGTCCTCCTTTATTCCTTGTTTACTAAGAAAAATAACAACGTGTTCTGCCAGTTCCTTGTAGGCCTCCGCTTGTTTGCTTTTCGGTGCTGACAGAACGATCGGTCTCCCGCTGTCCGAGCCTTCCGCGATGCTCTCATGCATCGGTATCTTCTGCAAGATATCTACACCTGATAAAGAAATCAAACATTAATCAAACGTACAAATACGACCAGGTTTAAGAACATATCTTTCAATTCCACTTGTTACCTAGCTCTTTAGCCAACGACACCGTGTCGTTACCGAAAAGAGATACCTCGGTCATGCATTTCGGACATGTGACCGTGCTCATGTTCTCCACTATGCCAGCGACAGGTACGTCTAGCTTCTTGAACATGTTCGCGCCTCTTCTAGTTACCTCCAACGCGACTTTCTGCGGCGTCGTGACCAGTAGTGCACCGGCGATGAAGAGATTCTGAACGAGAGAGAGATGTGTATCACCTGTTCCGGGAGGTGTGTCGATCACCAGGTAATCAAGCGATCCCCATGCCACATGATTCACTAATTTGTCCAATGCACTCATCACCATAAGTCCTCTCCAGACTACTGGTGATTTCTCATCAATTAAGAAGCCCATGGACATACTGTAAATAAAATATGATATTGTATATATATATATATATATATATATATATATATGTAGCACATTATAGACATTAATTCGTGCTATTTTTACTTATATGGATCACTTGAGATGGTCAATAGTTAATTACCATTTCACACCATAATTTATGAGTGGTTCCATAAAGCTATCATGATTTACCATCGGTGATTCGTGTATGTTCATCATCACAGGTACAGAAGGTCCGAAAACATCAGCATCTAGCAATCCAACAGTCTTTCTTGGTTCGACAATTTTCAATGCAGTTGCCAGATTAACTGCGGTTGTTGACTTCCCAACTCCACCTTTGCCAGATGCAACTAGAAGGATTTGCTTCACGTCTTTTATTCGCTTTCGTTTTGGCAGGCCACGCGCCATAATTTCTTGCTGTCTGGCTTGTAAGCTCTCTTGCTTTGTTTTGCTCGGATCGATTGAAGTGTTGTGCTGAAACAAGCAAGAGAAACGTAAATAACTTGAAATCTTTACTGAGACAATTAAGAAATTTATATTCTAAGTTCGCACGTTACTTAAGGTTACATATAAGTTACATATTAATTATATAAGTCGCATATAAATTTGTCCAATAATTGGTTAGAAGCGTAAGATCTCATTTGGAATCAACCTTACTCGAGACGCCCCGACTATACGAGTCTACGAAATAAATCGACTCACTTTACTGTGTTGCCGTTGCCCCGAGTACCGAAGGTATTTCAAACACTCGCTTAGATGCAACCTCGCGGTGTTGAACATCTTGACCAAGACCTCGACCTAACCTCACGCGCGACGTTCCACTCAACGTGATAAATCGACGTATTCCTTGCAGAAAGCACCGCCTTACTCCGAGAGCGGTCTCATCTTCATCAAAAATCTCAAAACTTGCATTCCCATTTTGTCATACAAATCATCAACAGTGATTTGAAGGCCCGTCGCGAGAGCGCCGCGGTTTTCTCCCCCGAGCACGCCGGGAGCTTCCAGCTGCCAACGTCGGAGGCGTTGGAACGCTCGTGTAGAAATGTGCGAGGGTGAATCACGCGGAAGGTGAAGATGTCGGTCGGCTAGTTTCAACGACGAGTATCTCTGACACGGTATTCCCCGGACGTCGCATCGTATCATCCGATCCCTCCATTCTTCCGGCCGCTTCTTTCTCTCCGCGTACTCGTTCGCACCCGTATGCACGCACGTCATCCATCTGTCGCCATTCGGCGAGCGATATTCCCCGACCGACCGCCACATTGCATCTAACCTAACCTGTATCTCTTCTGTTATCTCGGACGATAATCTCGAACGGTGAACGGTGTCAAATCTCCGCGTGATTAATCCTTGTCGCTTTATCGTTATGGTACGTAGTTTTCCTATCTTGTGAGAAACATTGATATCGGTTGCGTTCGGATCGCGGGAATGAACACGCAGCGTCGCGTCGCCAACACCTCGAAGGTCATCAAAGGTTCCGCCGCTCTTCTCTCTCTCTCTCTCTCCCGTGTTAAGGTTAGGTTAGGTTATCTTCGTTTGTGCGCTCCGTAAAGCGTTGCGCTTATTAAGCGTACATAGTACTTTTAGTAAGGTTGTAAAGTATGGCGTCCGTTTAGATCAATCCTCCGCCGAACGCAACCGTCGCGTCGCGGTGCGATTAAATCACGCGTGATCGATTGATATCCACGACGACAAAGCGTGCGTGCGTATGTTCGTCCGTGCTCGTCGCCTTTGTCGTCTGCTATACCCGCACCAGGCATGATCGCGCGACCGTGTTTAGCCGAATCCAAGTGATCCCCGACGAGAGAGAGAGATCAAAGACGGAATTGATCTCAAGTTTCTCGCGAAGTTTCCCAACTCTTCCTCGGAGCGAGACATTACTAACGACATGGTGAATTCTGCAGGTGAATGGTGTCGTATTTAGCGACAGGGAAGACGGAATATGGGCCTAAAGGCAGCCGTTCAGGCTCTCAAGTAAGTTCCAGTTACGATCCTCCACAGACCTCAGCTCGTCTTCTGTGTTTGAAACCAACGCCTGATGTATACTCGACAGGAAAGCGGAACCACTGAAGGACAAAGTTCAACGCTGCAAGGACCTGCTGAACGACAACGATGCCTGGGTATGTCAGCAGCAGTTGCAGAAGATATATCAGCAGGTCCTCATACTGGACCTGGAGTACGCCTTGGACAGGAAGGTCGAGCAGGATCTGTGGAATCTTGGATTTAAGAATTATATAGCAACGCTGCAGTCGCAGGCCAAGGACAGGAAGAATCCCAAGCGCGGTGAGTCGCAGGCATTGCTCAGTTGGTGTTTGGAGGCAGCCAGCGGCTTCTACCTGACCCTGTTGCAAGAAATCTGCACCATCTTTGACCTGGATCTACCCTTCAGGAGGTATGTTTCTGCTGACTCACGCTCGGCATTGTATGTTAATCCCTTCAAATTGTATTTATTTAAATTTACTCGATTTATTCAAACATACGAGAACCGGTGATTACATGCGATGATCTCATGTATATCAATGATCCGCGCTTCGCAGGAAGGGCTACGTGTATGGTTGTACGTCTCCATGGAAGGCCGTTGAGAAATTGTCCGCGCCTCACAAGTCGTCTTGCTTCTACGCCTGCCAATATTGCCTTGTACACCTGGGCGACATCGCGCGCTACAGAAATGAGAGCAAACAGGCCGAGATGTTCTACAGGCACGCCGTCTCGCTGTCACCGTCGAGCGGACAGCCGTACAATCAATTGGCGCTCTTGGAGGCATCCCGCGGCGACAAGTTGGGAACAGTGTTTCACTATGCACGCTCGGTAGCCGTGAAGCACCCCTTTCCCGTAGCGACGGCCAATCTCGCCAAGACCTTGTCGTCCGCCTTGAACGACAAGTCCTTCAATATCGACGGCAAGACCAAGCTGAGCTCGCAGGAGTATATCGCCGTCTTTCTCAAACTGCACGGAATAATCCACAACTTCGGGGACCTGAAGCTCGCCTGCGCGTATAGCAAACTGTTGACAGAGACGTTGACCGCACTGGTCGCCACCGAGAGCTTCAGCTCGTGGATGCTCATACAGATGCTGGTGATCAACCTGTACGCGCTGCAACACGCCGCCGGCATCGTCGCCGACAACGCGGAATTGCTGAAGAACGAGCACCTGTCCAACGACGAGAAGCTCGCCCGCGACTGCATACTGGACCTAATCGCGGGTACCCTGTCCGCTCTGCTGTTACCCGTCTACACGATAAAGGACTCCATCATCGATTACTTCGCGTTGCCTTCTAGTGAGTGCCACCTCGATGTCCCTTCTCCATGGGTCCGCTCTTTTTTTTTCTTTTTAGCTAAGAATCGGCTTGTTCTCTTTGCCTTTAGAGTGAAACGAGTATACAAGGTTCGTTCTTTCGGGCCGATCCACGCTCAGGGTTGTCATACGCCCGGAAAAGTCGTTGAAATTAAAAATGTCAGGGGAAGATATAGAAAAGAAACGGAAAATTTTCTGAACATTGCTCATATTTCCCTTAAATGCTCTCAACTCTTTTCCGATACTCATTTACTTCTCGACGGCCTGAATTTGCATTCAGGATTATATTATGTTACTAAACTTTTAAGTTTGTGCCGCTTCTAATAATATAGGCCAACTTTCCTGCAATCCCTGCTTCTAAACGTTAAAGTTTAAGATTACATATTGCTCGTGGAAAATTCTCCACTGCCGTCTGGAAAGTACGGAAAAGTCAGGGAATATCAAAATTCATTCTCTGTGGCAACTCTGAGGTCACACTTTCTTCCTTTAGAGTGAAACAGGTGTACGACATAGTGTTGAAGGGAAAAGGAGCGAAATTCAGCACTGGTCGAGCAAGTCTCTTGTCGTTAAAAAGAAAAGGAACGAAAGTTCCAATGTAGCGGTTATCGTAGTTCAATTAAAAGGAACAAGCTTATCGGCTATATCAGTGATCAGATAATTGACACATTGTCTGCTCTTTGCAGTAAAACTGTGCCTTGATTGGATCCGCATAAAACCCACGGTTTTAGAGGAGACTGCTTTCACGTCGAGATTACAGATTTGGCCCAGCCTTTGCATGCTGTTAAACGCTCTGCAGAACTGCGTGGTGGATTTTAAGCACAGCGAGTGTAAGTGTTCGCGCCATTTAGAGTTTGCTGGCTTACTTGTTTACTTTCATAGATGATTCCCGTTGCTTTTCAAGTGTATCGCGACGATCTGTATTTGTAAATTTACATGTCGCTGAGGAAGAGCGTAACTCGTTCATGAATAATGTAAGAGGTTGATATCGCGGCACATTGACGATGTAACACATGCGTATCAATTGTGGAATCGCAGACGCCGCAGTGCCACTGCCAGAGGACCGCGACCTTCAAGGTTTTCTGCCGTTGGAGAGGAGCTTTGAGAGTCTCAGATTCACGAACACCGACTTGGAGGGCGACATCGTGACGTTGAACAAGTTACGTGCCGTGCGTATTCTGCATCTGGGTCGTTGCCTCGCTCAGCATCAAGTAAACGGCTCGGCGCCGATCTCCATCACGACGGAGGAGAAAACTGGGGATAATAAATTCACCTCGATGAGCAACGGCGCCGGTCTCAGCAACGAGTTGATGAAGGAGCTCGAGGAACTCAGCATGAATAAGGACAAGCAACTGAACGCTTCTGTGAGCCCGGTATTGTCAGAAGCGGCCAGCAGCAAGTGTTCCGTGGAGACCGATGTTGAAATAGCTAGTGAGTAATTCATAATTGCGCGATATCTATATTATCTTTGTGACTCTACGTAAACGTATTAGCCAAGGTTCAATGAGTTCAATGAGTTTTAACTTACTCGCCGTCTCTTGCCGACTCAATGTTTACGAAGAGATGAAGAATCGATTAAATTATGATTAATGCGATATCTATGTTATCTTTGTAATTCTAATGTTGTAAACGTATTATACCAAAGTTCAGTGAGTTTTAACTTACTCGCTGTCTCTTGCTGACTCAATGTTTAGGAAGAGATGGAGAATCGAGTAAAATTATAATTAACGCGATATCCAACAACGAGAAAAGCTCACGTATTGCTCACATATATGATATATTATGATTATATGATATCATGTGTGATATGATATTTACGTTATTTATATATAATTTAATATAGTAACTTTAGTATAACGATTTAATACAACTTGTAATAACTGATATAAATACTGATATTGGTGTGGAGACTCAAATCTAAATTTAGCTCAGTAATATCGATTTCTGAAGATTCCGGCCGATAATATTGAAGTGTTTTCTGTTTTAACAGCCGACAGGAAAGTTTTCCAGGGCATCCTTAAGCCGCAAGGCTCCCTGGAACGGAACAGGGATTCTCTAACGAACACCGTGCCGGAGACTAACAACACCGAGGCGAGCGTTTTGCCGTGCGTGAGAAAACCGCGGCAAAACATAGCGATGCAAGCGATCATGCGACGGGCGGAGACCGAGCAGAAGCAAGTGACGTTCAAGAATGTATCGCCGGTGATCGTGGAGGAGGACAGCGATAGGAAGACGAAAGCGGCAGCCGTTCCGCCGGTCGGTGCTTGCGCCGCGACACCGAAACCGATCCCGGAAATGGTCAAGGCTAACGATAGCCCAGCCGCGAACGCGCTCGTTACCGCTCAGACTCGGTCATCGGCGATGTCGCTCGGCTCACCCGCCGCCGGCCAGTCCGCGTCGCTTCAGAATCAGCAGAGAGTCGCGAAGTTGCCACCCAGCATCCCGATGCCCCCTCAGATGAGCCAACTGACGGGAAAGGAGCAGGCTCAACAGATGTTGCCGCAGATGCCGCACATTCAACCGGTGCAGCAGCAACCTCCACCGCTGGGTGGACCGGTCTGCTATCCGAATCAATCGTTCAACGTGCAGAATCCGCAGTTCGCCAAGAACTTCATGGCGAGTCGGCCGACGGTGGGCAACGCGCCGCGCTATCAGATGCAGGGTCAGCTCAATAACGGCCAGCAACAATCGCCGATGTCGCAAGCCATCGGGGCGATGCATCAGCACGCGATCACTCAGAGCCGGCAGTTGCACCAGAGGATGCCGCAGAACGTGTCACACAGTCCGGCGCAGCTGCTGCAGCAGACCATGCGACTCGGTTCTCCCGCTCAGCAGGCTATGTTGCCGCAGAGTATGAACTTGCAGGCGGCCAACGTGGGCTTGCAACCGGGCCTGAGCGTGGAGCAGCAGAGCCACGCGATGGGACTGCAGGCGCAGCAGCAGAGCATGATGCAGAGCAACGGCAGACTGGCGAACGCCATGCACAATCAGTTGAACGTGAACGGTAACGCGTCTATGGCGAGCGTGCCCATGATGCCGGTGTTGTCCGGCTATAAGAAGGATCCGACGCAGCAACAGCAGCAGCAAGTGACGACTCTGACGAACTCGCCGAGCCCGACGGGCGCGTCGAACTTCCAGCTGAACTTCAGCCAGAGTAACTTCGGACAAGGCGCTTTCGGCTGCCAAGCGTTACCGCAGAACCAACCGTCGCCGTCATTCTACAAGAAGAACGCCGAGATGGTGGACTTCGCCTTCCCCACTCAGGTGAATATGACGAAGAATCAGTCGCAACAACAGCAACAACAGCAGTCACCGGCGAACAGTTACAACATGTTCTGCAACTACGAGCCCACGGAGCACTTCAATCTGTGGAAGGATAGTCGGCCGCCGCAGCCGCCGATTACCTGGTGGGGTTCTTCGACCGGTAACGTCAGCCAGATGCATATGAAGGACTCGACCGGCATTGAAAACGCGTTCTCCAACTGGAGCGACTCGTCCAACTCGGGGAACATGGCGAACAGGGTACCGTTGACGCCCGGCAAGAATTACCAGCAGCAGAACGGCAGACATCTCGTCGCGGCAAACAGCTTCGAGGATTCCAGATTGTTCGAAGTAAGTTTTACGTTTGTCTTCCACTCCGAGACTGACTGCATCGAATTGAACTCATGCAAGCCGGAACTGAGTATAAGCGTGCAGCCGAGCATGAAGAACGTTCTAACGCAAGAATAAGAACATGGCGGCGTTACGTTACAGCTGTAGAATCGAACAGTGACTTTGTCGGCCACGTGGCAACGTTAATCCGGTTTAGTAACAATCATCGTGGCTAGTGAACTCTTGCACTTAATCGGAATATATTCTTAGGTGTAAAACGTGGTCTATGGTGGGCAGGTAAGAATATATATTCATAAGAAATAAGAATAAGAAATTGACCAATCATATTCGAATGTAAGGAGAAATCAACTATGATTGGTTCATTTCTTACTCTTACTTCTTATTAACATATACTCCTACTGCGCATTATAAACCACGCTTAAACATAGTAGGCTAACTTCACGTCCCGAAATCGAACGCAGTAACTACGATAACGTTCTTCGTATTTCGTTCAGCTGGACCAGAAGCCGTCGCAAGCTGTGAGCACCGGGAACACTTACTCATTGTTTAGCGGCAATACATGGAGCACCGTTAACACGCCGATTTCGAGCTCGACCAATCAGGATCAGATGAAAGCGCGGTCCCTGTGGTCGGGACCGGGTCCGTCTCCGTTGGAGCGGCTGTTGGAGCAACAGAAGTCGCTGCGCGAAGGCGGTACCACTTGAAAGGTCACGTCGCAACTGCTGAGACGGCCAGGCAGAGTGTAATTTTCAGCGTATGCCGATTTAAAGCAACCACACACGGGCGTGTGCGGCGACGGAAGGTTTTCCGCGCGCGCGTAATGAAACAAAAAAAAAATCACTTATCTGTTCGAGCGGGAGACGTGCCGCAAATTCTGAAAAATCAATGGTAGGAGCGGCAAACGAGAGGTTCGGCTGGAGTCCCCTTGTTGCGTCTCCTCGACCTCGAGGCATTATGACATGCGCAGGGGAAGTATAGTCCTCATCATTTTTTATGTTTGTTTTTTTTTTTCTCTTAATCGCGTGTACGAGAGCCCCGGCGAAGGAAGTTCTCGAGACGCGCCGCTCACGCGACTCTCGCAGCGAATTTCTCGCAAACCGAGCGATTTCAAAGGAAAACACGAGCAAAAAGGGGGAGAAAGGGGGGGAGGGCGAGCAAGACAAGTGACGGATGATTTAACAGATGACAACTTAATTTGCACGGGATTAAATAAGCAAGCAACAAAAAAGCAAAAAAAATGTACTATTAGAGGTGCAAGGTGCAAGTAGCTCTTAGCGTATGTTAATTAGTGCGCAGGAAATTAAGGGAAATGTAGACGCTAATTACGAGCGAAACGCGCGCGTCTCTCTTCTGTATCTCGGCGACATACTTAGGAGATACTGATATATCGCGCGAGTGTAATTTCAAACCGGAACCCGATCAGCAATGTGTCGTCACCGAACACCGCGTCGTTTCGCCTCAATTCCTCGTGTCATCACGATTGCGCCGACTACGTAAATTAGGATGAACGGCTATTACGGATGAACACTCGTTCTTGTTTCTTTTGTTTTTTATGTAATGACTTTATTTCACATTAAAATATTAACAACGAGTTCCTTTTGTAATAACACACATACATAAGTTGTAGCATGCGTCATATTCGAAGTGTAACATCACGAAGTATGCTCCTTCGTTTCGTCACGGCGAAGTTCTTGAAAAAAGAAAAAAAATCATTCCGAAAAAAATCAAGACTTCTGATATTATATAATTAAAGAAAAAAGGAAGAGAAATATATATATCTATAGAAAGTTTTAGGCAACGTAGCACACACAGGAGGTATTCTTTTCTCTTATCTTCCATCTCGTTTTCAGGAAAAGTGGGAGCTGTCTGTGTAATTGCGCGACGAAACACTGAAAAATCATCTTACTGTCAAATCACTATACTCGCATTGACAACCGCATTTTCGCCGCGACAAAGGCCTACTTCTTCCCTCTTGCGCTTATTAACCGCCAATCAGGCAGCTCCGTAATTCACACGAAAAATATACTCTTGACAATTTATTTAAGGATCGATCTCCGTCTCTTCTATCTTCGGCTTAGAAGTCTTGGAATATGTAAGCGCTTCAAAATGACGCATACTATATCTACATAGTATTTACATTTATTAATTAATCGTCGATATTTAACTACAATATTTCAATCTGCAGCTGAGCGCAGTTGTTTTTTTAGATTTTTTTTTTAACGTTTACAAGCTCTAAGACTTCCATATAAAAGTGAAAACTGAAGAGATGGAGACGTTGGATCCTCTCTTTCGTCAATTTAAACTTATTTAAATAATTACATTCTCAAGTTTCCTTAACTGAACAATCAAATAACACAATTCATTGATGTAATGAACGGTCGAGCTAGAACAGAATCCAGTCGGAAGACTTGAATAATTTCTAGGAACGTTACATTGCACAAATACAGTCAGAAGATTCAAAAATTCATTTCGTACTCTCTGTCGGAAAAATAAACGGGTTTCTCTGTGCAAAGATAATTACATTCCTCTGACGTGCATAATTATCACAAATTATCATAAGTTATCGCATCCTTTGGTACATAGTTTGGTAAATATCGATACGTTTACGACTATGTTTTAGGGTCTGTTGATAAAAAAGGGGGGGGGGGAATGAAAAACCGATTTAATGTACCACGTTGGTCTCATCGAAGACGCGACGAACGTTGTTAACATCGTTTAAAGACGGATTTTCCTGTACAGTGTTCGGTCTACGTTCGTTTTTACGATTAATCGTGAGTTCGCAACGAAAGGCATTGTTATACGTTATGCGACGCATGCTGCCGTCACGTACGTACAAATAATCCTCCGCAAGAGTTTCCTTCCGACACGACTTCACCTGTTCGAAGGCATGAGATTAATAATTTTGACATGCGTATCTCTCGTGCGTTATCGTTATTGTTATATCCCGTTGTACGATCACTGTTGAAAATAATCCCTTTAAAGAGAGAGACTTCGTAGTGACCTTATATCATTGCTTATAAAGTGATTATAAAATTGGTAATCAAGTACAATTGCGAAGTAAACTAACTTTATAATTGCTCTGTAAGCAATAACATTCTGCAGTAAGAGATATATCACTATCTTTATAACTTCATCGTCGCTCGGTGATTGTTAAGTTGAAAGTTCTTTAGCTTATTCGCTTTGTCAATCGTAGAGAGTTATAAAGACAGTGATCCTGTTCGAAAATATACATCCGCATAAATTGGATAAAGAGACGGTAATATACAATTTGTACAGATGTACTCTTACCTCTGCACTGTAGCGAACCCCCTGAGGTCCACCTCCCACCTTCAACGCATACACAAATTGTCTTGCAGCTTCATTGGAATTAACCATTTGCACAGCACCTATTAAGCCACCTTTATGGTCTACAGCTAAGTGCAGGAAAAACAAACCCATGCCTTTGATGAAAAAAGCATAATCGTAATCTTCCGATGTGTACTCCAGATTCCAATTTTGCTTGAATATGTAATAACATTTAGTGGAGAACTAGAAATCACATGGCATTACAAATGAGGGAGAGGGGAAATACATCGGTCTAAAAAAAAACTCTATATCTGAAATTCATGCAATCAATGAAATTAATGTGCGATACCTCATAAAATGAATTTTTATGGTAATATCTGAGGTGGCCGATCATTCTACCATGTGGCAACTCTACTGCACACGACCCAATACGGCATGGATATTGTCCTTTCCCTACTTTAGGTGAGAGAATAATTAACTGTTGTTTCTGTTCATGCTGGGGCTCATGCTGTGGCAGATTTTCTTTAGCCGGATTTTCATTAGTCTCAGTTTGACACGAAACTGATACGTATGACGTAGAAGGTATGCAAGTGCCCTCGGTCTGAGTGGCTACACATACCTTACCTTTTAATCTTTTTCTATTAAGTGCATGATATGGATGCAATAGAGACAACTAGAAACAATAGTGTTTTTATAGTTAGTATCTTATTGCTAAATTGATATCATTTATCTTTTACAGGAAAATATTTAAGATAAGTATCTGACTTGATATTATTATATACAATATTACTATTTATTTTTATATTATTTTTGTACCATGTTGCAATACTATTTATTTTTTAAATTGTTGCTTTCACACATAATCTTTTTCTAACGCCATTGCTATATTAAAGTTAAACATGACAGAGACAGTACCTTGATCTCTTCTAATTTTGCTGTGATATGTTCCACAGCTAAATTTCTGGTGTTAATAAATTGTGATTTGCACAGAGGACAAGAATGTACTTGTTCCTTACATGCAACACAAATGTGATGCCCATTTACACACTGATGCTTAGTACCCGTTGGTGTTGTCTCTAAGCATACTGGACACTGCAGCAATTCTTCCAGTGCATCGCACCACTGAAACCAAAATTTAAAGTGTCATGAGGTTGTTGTTTACCACTTAATAATAATTGGATAATGTGAAAATCTCGTGTACATATACACTCGTAATAATTCACCCATCTTACAGCTTGCGTTTTCAAAATCAATCGAGATGTACACGATAACGCAAATTTCATACATTTATTTAAAATAAAAACTTCAAACTTGTATCTCTCCCGATACGTTACATCGACGACTTCGACGATTCTCATATTTCTAACGAGATAAGAGCCGACACGGAACGTGATATATTTATCTATCAAACTGATAATATGTTCGCCAGCAAGAGCTTAAGGCGCATAATGTCGCAAACATGCAATGCAATTGCAAGATGCGCTAACGTATAGAGAAAGCAGCGTACGTATACGATTTACATGATGTTATATATACCATAAAACGAATTTCCTCCATCTATATTCCGCTGTGTCGTGAATTCGAAAATGCAAGTGCAGCGTAAAGTCGTGCCGAACAATTGACAACGTCTTCTTCGCAAACACTAATCTGCCCAACCCAGTACACGTTAATCCGCTATGAGATTGGCGAGTTTCCCCGGTCTCCTTTCCAGTTTCCCCCTTCTTTTTGTTTAGTGCCGCCGTCGGGTGTGATTTGTTCTTCTCAGTTGCACCGTGTTACACTTTCTGTTTCATAAGTGAAATAGATTACGTTCATACAGACCGTGCTCTAAATTTAATGCCTCTAAAAGTGGCTTAGAAACCACCTGATTGGCTGAGAAACCACATTTAAGGCACTTCTATCGATAAAAGAGGGAATTTCGGAATATATATACGAGCCATAGTTGTGGACAAAAAAACTATGCTTTTTTTTTCAATGAAGTTAAAAAAACAAGTTCTTTCATTGGACAGTCGGTTGCATCCCCAACTGTGTCGAAAAAAAAAGCATGACAACATTTCTATTTGCGACTGTGCATAAATATAAAATTGATTTAATAATTTTCTATGTTAAATATATTCAGTATTACAATGGAATTGTATTACAGCTTATTGAGTATTCTAAACCATGATGGGTGCATTCGGGGAACACGCTATCAGCGCTATTATGTCGTTCTATCCTTGTTTCTCTTGGATGATAAACAAAGACAGAACGATGCTCGCAATCGTTGTGAGCGTTAAATAGAACGCACCTAAAGTTGGAATCACGTGATAGCACTGATTACGCGCTTTCTGAACGCAGCCGATGTGAGAATACAAGAGTTGTGGGGGATCGGAGAGTGTGCTTTAGCGCTGATTAGTTAACAAGTTATTCTGTCTTTGTCGTATATCTAACGAGGGACGAAGATTAAATGACACGTTAGCACTGACAGCATGCTCCTTGGACGCAACCAAGATGTATTATTGCGCATAATGGCGGCCGAATATAGAGCAACAAATCAAATTGTAGCGCGGAATCATATAGTATTAGTAAAAATATGAACAAAAGTGGTAATAATAATAATATAAGTAATAATGTAAGTAATAATATTCTAGCGACAAAAGTAAGTGTGCGAACCTTTTTCATTAATTATACAACATGACATGTAACCTAATCTGTTGCATATCGTGGAAGAAACCATGTTACTTTTCGCAATTAGGGCAACCTTCTAATTGGTCAAAATTATTTCTACCGCTACGTATCTCGAGAATAAAACACTAAGGCTGATATTCATAGTCGAATCTTATATTTAAGAATTTTATATTTGTTATATTTTGAGTTCATCTTCAGATGTTTCGTAGCCAATGAAATGAGCTGTACATTTGAAGATAAACTCAAGACGGGCTTAAATATAAGATCTGATTATGAATATCGACCTATAGCAAACATTGAAAAGTTTTTGAATTTTTTTAAAAAGTTAAAAAAAATATCTTATTTGGTGTACAAATGAATGATCCAAATATTTTTAAGCAGTTAAGAAATTGATTTTAAAATTAATTGATTTTCCCGCTCTTTTACGATTATATAGTGTTAACATATAGCTATTAAAAATGACATTTAATATGCCGAAAGGCCCAACATAACCATTCAGTACAAAAATATTCAGTTTAGTAGAGTCGGTCATGGCAACAGATGAGGTGCATATCCGACACTGTATTCTTGATGAATTCCAACAAGGAAACTGTTACATGGATAGCCTGACGCCATCTAGCGGTGTCCAGTAAAAAGTAATATGTAGTATATTGTCAGTCGTATGTCTATTTATTCTTACAGGCAATTGTACAATAACTTACAATGTTTAACTTAATACATATATACAAATTCGTGTATGTCCAGGTTTAAACGAGTAGCGATTAAGATATTACACGAATGTTCTTTCCTTCACAACTTGCAAATGATGTCGCATTTAAATATAGGCTGCATTCTGAGAGCACGCTTTCAGCGCTGTCGCGGCACTTGGTCTGTTTCTTTTTTAATTGAACCGGATGCAGCTAGTTCAAGAAATGTACACACACTAAAGCGTGAGAATCTTGTACATACGCTTCATACGTTTCAATATGTATGTAAATTTCTTGTTTTAGTGCAGCTGGTTCAATTAAAATGAACCGATCTTTCCTCGTTTTATGTCGAATGAGAGATAAATGGCGTTTTCAATTTGCTGACTCGACTCAACTCGAGCAACGTTCTAATAATCCTTTCAATACTACAATCTATAATTCGTGTATATTATATTTTGCAATGCTGTAGCAATTATCAAGATGCTGCGCGAGTCGGATCGAGTCAATAAATCGCCCAGACAAAGTCTAAAATCAAGACATAAGACGTCTGAAAGACATTTTTGAGACGTCTGTCAGACATTTTCAAGTCGTTTCTCAGACGTTTTACGTACAAACATCTTTAAAACGTTTCATCTCTTAGTTGTTGTTTTGGTAAAAATGCCGAAAGATAGAACGATACAGCGCGCCGATAGTGCGTTTCTCCGAACGCAGCTTAAATTATAATTTCAAACGCGGTTTTTTCTCTCTTTCTGTTCTCTCTCTTTCTCCCCTTCCTCTGTCCGCCTTGATCGTAACAAATTAATCATTTGTCGTATGTACACACGCATACGTGAGTATGTAACAGAACAATCAAAGAGCAGTCTTGCACCGCGGTAGAACCGAAAGACTAAAAGTTCTGCCTCATATCGTTCCCGAACGAACGTACGAAACGTGCCGGACGCGCGTTGCGTCATTCCTCGCTCGGTCGCATGATTCGATAGTCTCTTCGGCTGAAGGAATAACAAAAGTAACGAAAGAAGATAATCGATATTTTCAGAATTGGCTCGACAATTCGGCCTGACTTGTTTCACACGATTTGCTGCGGCAAGGGGCTGTCCGATCGAAGGAGAACGCGTCGTCGTCATCCTCGGCAAACGTCTCTTTCTACACTCCACGATTGGAGAGGTCTTTCTGCTTGCTCGATCATCGCGATGTAAGCGGACAATTTGAACGTTCAATGGAGTTTGTCGTTGATTGCGCATGCCTCATAGCTTCTCGCCGCTGAGATTGAGCACGTTGTAATACGAGTGGTCCGGAAACCTGTCGAGCTCGATGTAATCAGTTTCGTCGAGCAGGAGGCCTTCGGTTAGGCTGACCAGTTCGGCGAAGGACGGCCTGCACGCTGGGTCCTTGTCCCAACAATAGTACATGATGTTGTAAAGTTCCCTTTTACAATGCTCAGGCCTGTCCAGTCTGTAGCCCTCTTTGATTCGCCGCATCACCTGCAAAATGTTCCCTTGTTACGGCCCGTTGTTGGTCCGAAACTCTCTTGTTGTAAGTGGGTAAAACCCAACAGTGCCCAATCCTGATGAAGTGAATTGAAATATCCACGAAACGTCGGAAATAAACCCATGAAGGACACGACGTTAACTCGGAAGCCAAATTGAGTATTCATACTATTCACTTTTGAATCGTTCGACTCGACATTTCTCTTTCCCCCTCCCCGTTAATTTATTCATTCGCAACTCGATCGTTATCGTTATTTTATTTCGACATATGGTTTCTTCACAAGTAATTTTACTTGAGAAACTCGATTTAAAGTCTACCCTCCCTGGGAGAAGGAATAAGACAACCTGCGGACGACACGTACCTCTGCAGCGGCCAGGCCAGGATACGGTGTCGATCCCAACGTCACTATCTCCCAGATTAAGACGCCGAAACTCCAGATGTCCGATTTGACGGAGAATATATTGTCGTAGAGACTCTCGGGCGCCATCCACCTGATCGGCAGTCTGCCTTCGGATTTTCTCTCGTAAATTTGATTGGCCGCCACGTCCCTGGCGAAACCGAAGTCCGCCACCTTGCATGCGCGGTTCTCGTCGATCAGGATGTTCCTGGCGGCCAGGTCCCGGTGAATGATACCCTTCGACGCCAAGTACTCCATGCCTTTGGCGATCTACGAACGATCAAAGCATGAACGGTGAATGTCGAGCAAGGATTTAATTATACGCCGGCGACTCCTGTCGCGAAGATGGGATATAATATAAAATGGCGCTACTTTCCCAAGAAGAGATCCTAGTTAACTATTGACTTTCACAAAAAAAAAATTCACAACATGAAAGAGCTTACACTCACCTGATACACGAACCCGGTGAGATCCCTGGAAGTTAATCCCGCTCCCCCGTGATTCCTCTCCTCCCTGGAAGCCCTGAGGAAGCTCTGCAGCTTCCCACCGCTCACGTACTCCAGAATGACGAACATGGGCTCGCGTTCGGTGCAACAGCCCAGGAGCCGCACCACGTTCGGGTGAGGATCCAAGTTCTTCATGACCCGTAGCTCCTGTGCGAGGTCTAGCCGCTCTCGTTCAGTGGCGTTCTCCTTCAAGGTCTTCACCGCGACGATCGTGGCACCGGGCTTGCCGTCGATATCGAGGGCCTCGCATTTCCACACTTGGCCGAAGCAGCCCTCGCCGAGGATGTTGAAGACCTGAGAATCGGTGAGTGATCGACCAATCATTTATCCCGAACGAATCGGAATGAGTATATTTACACGATAGATTGATGATGGATTTTATTTATAACCGAGTAATTAACAACAGCTGCTCAACGGCTGAGTGAAGCGCGAACGATCAATTATCGACTACAAGGTTTACCGAGTGCTTAAACACGACGATGATTACCTTCAATCTGTGCCTGGGAAATTCCCACTTGTCTTCTTGCTTGCTTTGAATGCCTGCCTGAGACTCCTTCTCCCACGGCTGGTAGCGATTACTGTGAGCTTTCGGGCCACGCCACCTCTTCAAGACGAGAGACGGGTCGTCAGATAGATTGGATACGCTAACTGACGCTTGCTCTTTCTGAAAATCGCGAAACAGCCAGCCTTATTATCTCGTCTTATCGAGGATGATCTGAAGGTAAAGATCGCAACGGTTAAATTAATGGCCTTCTCAATTCCTTCTAATTGCTCCTTCTTTTCTCCGTTGATGTAATTTTACTTTAAGTACCGTGTCTTCCTTGGACTTGCGACTGATGCAGAATTTATGCCTCAGGGACCAGGCGGCTATGCCGACGCTCAGGATAATGGCACATCCTGCCGCCACTGGCACCAGAGTCGACGCCATGTCCTGCGAAGGTGGTGCAGCGGAAGGTGCGACTTTGGAACTCAACGCGGGCCCTTCCACCTCATTCAAGACTTGGACGGTCTCCTCTGTGACGTCACCGTTCACGTCGACCACGTCCTTCTTGGGCTTCGACTTCTCCAGTTCGAGTTTCGTGGTCTCGGGATGATACTGCTTGGGTGACAGAGGAGGTAATGGCGATGGGAAGCTTGGTAAATTAGGCAGACTGAGTATAGGCGGTCGTATCCGACCACCGGAACCATGCTGGCTCGGAAACGGCGCCCTAAATAAATGAGAAAGTTCCTTAATTGCTAATAAAAAAATGCACTAATGTAACTAATCTTGGTTCATGTCAACTCTGAATGACTCTTTTCTTAAACTCAATTTTCTTTTCCTCGGCAAACTAAGAAAAATTATCTCTCCTGTCAAGTTCTCTATTAGATATCAATTTTGAGATCGTATTAGCAATCTTTGTGAGATAATATTTATAAAAGACGATTAAATTCTTTCTTTGTAAATAATTTCCTATCTTTCTCGTGTCTCGCATCTATCGATATTTTTTTCTTTTTCAATTTTCCGCTTTATGTATCTATAAATACTCTTAGTGAAGAAAAATTTTTTAATATCAGGCATTTATCGATTAAATGACACTGGAATTCCGCAGTTTAAGATGAGAAATCGATTTTTCCGTAACAAGCACTTCCTTACACCCCGTAATTTTTATACGATCCGCCCCTGATATCGTTAACGAAGTGGAGCATGAATAATGGAACGGATCACCGCTGTGTCCTCTTAAGGTCGTGCGTTATTCTTTACCATTTATGGATAAAATACCAATAGTTTACAAACTCACACCGTTAGCATTAACAGAATTTTCATGGGAATATCGAGATTTCATATGGATTTATAGGAATAAATCTTGAATTTGCTATGACAATAAAAATAGTAACTTACAAACAAGAAAATGATTTTCTAGTAAATTAATTAGAGAGTAATTCATGTAATTTTCTTGATCATGCCAAGTTTTATTTCTCAGGGAGAGAATTTTGTTGTAATACACGCCGGAGACTTGGAAGGAGAAATTGAAAACTTCGAAGAGCGATAAATTTAGCTTCGCTCGTATGAATCGCAAGACTGAATAGATACACGAAGTGAAAGGTCACACAAATATAGCTCGATGTAAAAATACCACAAGTTTATATTCGCATATTATTAAACTGTATGTTGTTAAACTCGCATTTCATTAAACCGTGTGTCGGAATGATTATTACGAGACACCACTTCGATATCCACAGATAACTTGAGAGAAATACAATCATAACATGTTTTCCTCTTAGAGTGAGTTTCAAAATATCAGCATGTTGTTTAAGAAAGGAGCTTATTTCAACTTCTATACAAGCAAGTATGCCATATATTAATTCTCTCCTTCGCAACTTTTTTTCCTTGATATATATACAGCGCATTCTAGAGGATAGCTAAGAGCGGTTTTTAGAGGCAGATTTCAACATCTCTCGATGTAAATCGACCGGTTACTCCATAAATCTTCACGTCTTCCAACTTCTCGCGCGTTAAAATACAAAGCAAACAAACGCGGAAACGTAAGAGCCGAGTACAGTTGCTACGTCTCTTCATCAGTCGCCGAGTTTGCTCCTTTCTTTTCCCTTTTTTTTTCCTTCTTTCTTTTTCTACACGCTCGATGAATAGCGTCGAGCTATCGAAAACACCGCCGTAACTGCGTAAGCACGCACCTCGTCTTTCCCCGATTCGGTGCCGATGTGTTCTTGATGTTGACGTAGACCTCGGTCTTCGCCGTGAGCTGGCCGTCGGAAACGGTCACGTAGAGGAACAGGTTCTGCCCTCCCTGGAAAGAAGAATGAGCAAGAAGGCGTAATTCAGCGCCTCGACGTCTCTCGCGGTCGGTCGTACGCCGGCGAACGCCGTATATGTAAACGCGCCCTCGTCCAACGTCGAAGACACATTCTATCGCGTTCCTTTCCTCGAAGCGCATTTTTCCGACGAAACCTGCCGCCGACCTGCGTGACTCTGTTGCGCACGAGGCAACGGTAATATCCAGGATATCAATGTCTTCTGGATATACCCATATCCCCAGAAGCTCCAGATCACGAGATCTCGAAACTTTTCCGAGTTTTCGAGTCCTCTTACAATTTTGAATATCTCGGGCCTTTGACGCGTGTTACTTCGAGACACGTTGAAACTTTCAGAATCTGAGAATTACGAAATCTCAACTCATGTCTTGCAGTTTGAGAAAAATCGCATCGGTAAGCAGACTTTAACTGGCGCGAGTTCGCTCGGACCGAGATTTTGCGATTGAATGATTGAAGTCGTGAAAGCTCACGAAATTTCTCTATTGTAAGCTTCATTACAGGTTCCTTTGTCACTTATTTAATCGCGCACACCTCTGTTATTTACTTCGTTAAATTTAATATTCGAATTTAACGAGCTGTTTGTTGTAATTATACCATATATAGTCAATGAAGGATCTCGAAGCGTCGATTCGATTGATGCATCAGATCGAGAAAGAGCTTTCGAGTATTCGAAACGTATTGATCATCTTGTTACTGAAAATCTAATCACGTGCCCGACTTCTTCACTCTACCGTCACGATCGTGTACTGAAAAAAGGATTCGGCAATAAGCACGAATATTTGCCGACTAAATATTTGATTACCACAATCAAATATTTAGTCGGCGAATATTTACCAAATTTTAATATTTATTACCAAATCTCTCTTTCAGTTTGGGAATCTCGATTCGCAGGACGATTGCCGTCGTGATCGAATAAGTTGTTGGTTGTCGAGGGGACTCACCCTTCCTTTAAGAGTCTCATTGAGGTAGACGGTGCCAGTGCTGTTGTCAATGAAGAAGGGCAACGGTGGCTGCGGGCTGTCGTCCCCGTTGTAATTGTGTCCGAGCGGTTCCAGGCCGTAGGTCAGCGTGTCCTGCTCGTTGTCCTCGGCGCGAACCCTGGTCACGATACTTCCTACCGGCTCGGTGTCCGGAAGCACCCAATTCCGGTCCAGCCACATTATGGGCGGTGTGTTATCGCTGAACTGACTCCCTGCAATCAATGAAATGTCAAATGAAACCTTTAGAAATGTTTTCTCCTTCGGCAACTGCGATCTATCTAGTTTTTCTACTATTTTCTATCGAGCATGAAAATCGTGGAAACTCCCTTTGCTTTTAAATTTAGCAAATTTTCGCAATATTAGGATCTCAAGCGCGCGACTTTGGTACGTTGAAACCGCGAGACTTAAGAATCTTTGAACCTGATTGCAATCCGATACTCGCATCTTTTTTTTTCTAGATCGTGGGGATCGTGTCGTGTATTCTCGGGTCGTTAGTCTCTCTCTCTTCTCTTCCCCGTCTCTGTGAATCCTTAAACTTCTTGGCTATCTGGCTCAGGCCAAATGAACCGCGTCTAATGGCTCTAACGCCGCCACCGGCGGGTTTCCTCCTGAGAGCTGACGAATTGCGTCAATTGCAATTCCCGACTGAGATATTCGTCGGCGTTAGTATGCCGTGAGAATATTCAGCCGGTCGGCGATTAATGGATCCTCGTCACGGAAGGTTGACAACGCGAGCTGAAAATCCCGTTCAGATCGTCTTCGATACCTCCTCGCAGCGATCGCGAGCGTTTCGAGCTCGAACTTCATGCTCGAGCTCTAATTAGCCACTGGGTTTACCGAACGATAATGAGAGAGAGCAGCAGCGGGTGGAAATGCGCGCACTCCGAGAGATCGGCCTTGATATGCATTCCTTCCTGGATTTCGAGTTCATGTCGCCAAGTAGAGTGTGACCCTCGAGACTTCGTTTTGCACATTTTCGGCTGGGCTCGCTCCTCCTTCTTATCCCTCGCGCATAAGTAGATAAGACATTGTCGGAAAAACAAGATGTCGATGTAATTTCACGCGGGTTCCCGTTTCTGGAATCTTTAGATCCTCGGAATCTCTCCTCCTCATCCTTGGCAATCTTAAAGACCTTGATCTTTTGGATTCTGGAGAATGTTCGTGCCTCGTTAGGAATAAAAATGCAAATGCAACTGTACAAGCGCGTGGGTGTGTGCAAATCGTCGTGTCGAAATCGAGGAGAAACTGCTTCTATCCCCGTTCTCGATACGCGTCGCTCTCCGCCACGGGTGTAAATTTTCATATATCATCTCTCTCGCCCCGCCCGTTGTTTGCGTCACATTTAGCGCGTAAAATCGGAGAAACGCCGAATAACTGAACTCTTGCGACATTCTACCGGCTTATCCGGCCGCGCATCCGACGGTGTGATCGCGGTTTCGCGGCAACGCGCCAACGATCCTCGACCTCTCCCATTAGGAATGGATTGGCGAGCTCGAACAGGCGAGTTATGCTCGCGAGTAGAAAGTCACGGTGAGCGCGATTGCTCATGGCCGGCGAGCGTACGAAGGAGCGTTGTGATACCGGCGGGGCCGATCTGATACCGCGCGAAAGGCGTGTGTACTAGAAATAGAAAGTGCATCCAGTCCATCCAGCGCGCGTTCAATTCGTAGGATTCAGCTTCACCTCCGGCTCCCCGAACAAGCGGAGCTTTTAACGCGCGTGCGAAGTCGTTCGCACGCGAATTTAATTACTCGAATTTAAGCCCCTTCTTTCCCTTCGTCGCGTGCTCGCGCTTCCTCTTCAGGTGCGCCAGCCGCGCTCGTCCTTTACACGAGTCGTCGATTAACTACTGAAAGAAGACAAATCAGCGGTGGAGAAAGAAAAGCGTACACTCCGAAAAAACTCGGGATGGATATTCACTGGGAGGAAGGAGGCAAAAGCAAAAGAGATCTTTCGTTCTCTTCAGCTGCCGGTTGTTTAATTAAAGAACGCTAGCGCGTTAGAGGAGTAATTAATTATCTACATAGATAAAATCGAGAGTCATAATTTTCATTAAAACAATAGAAACGTGTGAGTTATTCAAAGAATTCACCGAAGAGTCAAACGGAGATCCGTGAAGTGAACGAAACGCGAAGTTTTATGAAAATCACACGGCACGGCGTTTGTCTATGATTTGTCCGGATTATCCGTAAAACATGATTCTTTTCCGCTTCGCGAAAGAAGGTTACAAACGAAATAAGAAAATTTAGCAAATTTTGACGTCAGCACAGTTCGACCGCGCTTCTTCTCGAAGTGGGAAATTGGAGAAGAGACGCGAGATTTATCGTCGCTGAAGTTGTAGCGTGACTTAAAAGCGCATACTCCTCATCATAATGCGTCTCACGCTTCACCGTGGGAAGTCGGATCGCAATTAAATGACCGTTTCAGACGGTTAATGACGGTTTTCGAGTCAATGAGTTTCAAACGAGAAGGAGAAACCGGTCCCTCCTCGCGAGCGACGAGGATGAAACGCGAAAAAGAGCGCGCTCGTCTTTGTAACGGCGGCGGCGGCGGCTCGATTTCGTGCTCTTCTCACCCTTCGCGCTGTAATTGTGGCGATTATTCATGAGAATATAGCGCGTAACTGTATTCTCACGGTGCAGTGACTTCAATACCGCTATAAAACGCGTCGGCGTTTAAGTGAGACATTGCTCGAAACAAAGCGTCCAGTCCGCCCGGTCGCCGTAATCGGCGACGTCGTCGCGTCGCCGTCGTCTCCGTTCCGTCGCGTATCAATGTTGATCGCGTCGCATGCGATCAGATGAGAAAATAAAACAGTCCGAGCGGTACCTGCGCGTTAACGAGACGACCGCGCGAAGCGGTACCGTAAACCACGGCGCGACAAGGCTTTTCATTCGTTTGTCCGACGCTCGCACCGGCGCGATGGCTCGCGATTTCGACGAGGAAGGTGCCGTGACGGCGTATGAATAAAAGATCGCGATTGACAAACTCGATGTTTGCACAATCGTGCGAGGCACATCTAGAGAAAAGTGATCACGACAGTTATTAATGATATTATCGTTATCATATTCATTGGGATCGTCGGTCGTGCCAGGTGGAGTGCGCGAGTGATGACTGCAAATTATTCGACGTGATGTCGGATGACAACGATAGTATTAACTCGTTTCTGCAGATGGAAGATACCTTGTATACAAGGTGTCCGATAATTATCTCGGGATCCGTGGTGTGAAGGTAGAATGGAATTGAAATGAATAGGAAGATCACGTATTTTGCAGAAATCGTAATAGTCAATGAGGAATTAATTGATCTGAGTGTGAGTTAATGATGGAGACAGTAGGTCGGCCTCTGTATAAAGAAAAATGGCTTACTTCGGAAGACGTCCCAGCAACAATGAGCATCAATTGATTTCTAGAGACGGAATAACGCAGCGAGCAGCATGCGGTATCCTAGTAAATACTGACCATCAATAACGTAACATCGATGTTATAATTTCTCATTCAACAATGTAACTGTCACATAAAACACGTGTTATATTGCATTTATGTTATTGAGTGGGAAATTATAATATTGATGTTATGTTACTGTTAGTTGCCATTTACTGAGCCGATGCCGCGCGCCGCAAAGAAATACTCCTCTCGTTATCAGTTGATACCCATCGTTGCTAAAACATTTTCAGAAGCGGGCCTTTTTTTTACACAGAGTCTGATCTACTGTTTCCCGTGCGATCATTAACTCATAAATTAATTAATTTTTAATTAACTGTTGCAATTTTTGCAAAATGGTACGTGATTTTCCCGTTCAATTTAATCCGGTCTACTTGCATGCTACGAATTCCGAGATAATTATCGAACACAGCGTATACTTAGAAAAAGTGCTGGAATCTAGTGAACGTAATTACCGGTTTCCAATCTTTTAAATCGAGTAGTATTTTTATCAATTTAAGTTTATTTCAATAGTTTGTAATAAATACTTACGTGAACACAATAATACTTTACTTTGTAAATGAATTACCGAATGTAAATGTATGTGGTTCTAAATTTAAGAGAATGTTCACTGGAATTATATAATACGCTTATTTTCCATTGAAGAAACCTGAAAGAAAGTGGTTTTAAATTTTGATTTTTCCGTCCAGTAAAGTATTTCCTAAAAATAAATTCTGATACTCTCAGTAATATGAATTTAATACTTATCGCAATTGTTTTAATACTTAGAAGTAAATGTCTACTTGAAGGAAATATATTGTATATAATCAATCATATTTCTACTTTTAATAAATATCTGCCAAGGAATATCGGAGTACCTATTTTATTGTTATCAATCAAATATTACTTGAACGATAGCACTTTTTTCAGTATGGTTTTACTTTCGCGTTTAAATGCCTAGATATTCATCCGCATATACAACATATGCCATAACATTCCACACTAGAAAGGTACTTCTTCCATTGTGGCACTTCTCATACGTATAATTGCAAATATAAATATATTTACGTATAAAAGAGACTTGGGAGAAAAATTCTACATGGGGTCAAAGAAAGAGAGGGAGATCCGGTGCGACGAGTGAACGTAGTGAAGTAAAGTCGATCACGTGATCGGCCGGGACTTTCCCAAATCGACCCGACGACGGGTTTCCGCCCGGGTCGTTATCCCGCCTGCGGACACGACGATGCGTCTAACGCGAGAGAAGGCGGATGCGGCTTCTCCTGGACTTTCTCGGATGTCGCCCGGGCGTTTTCTGATGTGCTCTCGACTTCGATTATCGACGCAGGAACCGTGAAGGAGGTGAAGGTGCTGGTATTGCGCGCTTCAAGAGAGGAGGTGTTCTCTCTCTTTCCCTCTCTCTCTCTCTCTCTTTTTCTCTCTTTTTCTTACGAGCAAGCGAGATCATGAAGAGCAACGTGGTCAGTCCGCCGATGCGTCCCGAACAACACGGAGAAAGTGGGACGATGAAAGTGCGACCGAACGACTGGTCTCTCTGTCTGTCTGTCTGTCTACATACGTGTGTGTATACCTCCTCCGTGTGAGAACACGTTCGTCGAGAGAATCGCACCTTTTTCGCCGATGCATCGCCGGCTGATAAGCGATGCAGGCTCGTTCCGTGGCGGCCATACGGACTTACCTCGCCGTTGAACCAGCCGTCCTTCGAACACCTTCGGAAATCTTAGCACCGACCGGAGTCACCGGCGGGTCGCCCTACTTTGCGGATGACCGGT